AGGCATAAGACAGTTTAGTAAACCCAATGATTTCATCATACAAGTTGTATGATGTAACAAGAATGCAGGACACAACACAAATCTATGACTCATAAGCTATCAACAATAATAAATTTATAATTTTTTATTGGAGTATTAATACAATGGCATCGAGAAACACTACATAAGAGCAGCTGAATCACTGGACTATTGTCTCAATCAGTGAACTCAGATTTTTCTTTTACGACGCAGTTGGCTAAATCCTTTTTCTTTTGATCAGCACACGGCAGCTAACCGGTGTACTTAAGTTCATACCAAGTCATCTATTTAAAATCAAACCAAGCTTACTTCTTTAACATGAACAACGTGGTCTCCCTTGCATGTCAATAAGCTGATTTTGTATGTTTCACCATTCAATTTCCCTGTTTCTGAAGAATATATTCCTTCAACTGGTATAATACAAGGTTTGAAGTATGACAAGAATTTCTCTGTTTCTTGGCCTTGAACTTCCCTATATTGCACAGCACAGGAGCCAAGAGCTGCATCTAGTTCAAGGGCTTTATCTGAAGCCAAGGCTGAGTCCGCCTGCCAAAACAATATGCAGCCTTAAAACACTGTTAACATATGAATGAAGATGTCAAATGTAAACCCAGTAACCAAATTTCATGTCAAGTAACTCTCATATCAACTACTAAAAACCACACAATTTAGTGGAAACTGTAACCTACCTTGTTGGAATCATTTCCCAGCCAATAATGTATGTCATACTGAGGAGGGCCACTTTTTAGCAAGACGGTCTGTCCCAGATGAACCACAAACAAGTGGAACAAACTTCATCAGAATGCATACTAAGCGAACAATTCCGGAGAAAATAAAAAATCCTCAAACATCAAGTAAACGTCGATTTTCTAACTACATTCAATGCTCACTACTCGTAGAAAAAATCAGCCAAATCTGATAACAACTTACATTAAGAACGATATAAGCACTTCCAGTATAGAATTTGCCATGTGAGGACTTAGGAACAGGAACCAACCGCAGTTTCTCAATGCACCAAATTTCCAAACCACTATATATAATTAAGCTAAGGATACAAAACATACTTCAAAACAAATCATGATCCATCAATTAACAACATTAGAATATCAAGTGCTGACAAAAACCAAACTTTTCTAAATTAAGAACTTTAATTGCTTCAAGACAAATTGCTATAGTACTTATCTAATCTTCCAATAAACAATAAACCTCATTAATTAAATCCGCACTGATTAAACAGAAAACAAAAGCTACACTACTTAAGAACAAGATTAAACTAAAATCAAATTTATAACAAGGATACGCCGTAGCTCCTGCACCCTCGAATGCTGAATCCACGTCCTTACTGTACAGAGCCATTTTTTCTCATTGCACTGAAACTCCACCAAACAAACGACTTAATAAACTTTAACGTATATTCAGCTTAAAAATAAAAACTAAAAAATAATTAAAATAATAATAAATAATAAAGCACGCGTCTCAGTCATGTACATTCTCTCCTGTTTCTTAAGTGAGAAACAAGATCTGATGGGAACAAACAATGAGAATATACCTAATTCTTGATGATTCTGAACATGAATAACAGTTAAGATAGTCAACTAACAAATTATAATGGCGGAAATGGAAAGAGAGATGAAGCAATAAAAAAGTTAGGAACCGAAAGAGAGAGAAAAATGACATGTTTGGCTTTATCATCCAGCTAATGCGTGGGTTCCACTTAGTGGTGAGCATCAACTTTTTTGATTATTCATTTTCATGGTTTGATGAAAAGGAAAGGTGATTGAAGCTTGAATAGAGGAAGTGGGCAGTGGGCTCAGGTGTTTGCCACGTCACAGGCGTTTCCCGCCCCTTTGAATTTCGGCTGTTTGACCATACGGCATGGATGGCATGCGTTTTTTTGGATTGTCAATCAAGTTGACTGGTCAGTCATGCCACGTAGGATATGATCTTAATAATATAATAATAAAAGCCAATTTAAGTTGGGCACTGATGGGACCATGGGCCATTGGATTACCAATGCTATGAAAATCGGACCGGACTAGATCGTCCAATCGGACCGATTCGACTGGTAGCCGATGACATATCCAATTCAGTATCCTCTGAAAACCGCCATTTTCAATCAAACCGGATTGAGTCGCGGTTGGACCGCTAAAATGGTGTCGAATCACGGTCTAATCGCAACTCAATCCCGCCGGATTCCGACATCTTTTGAGGGAGAAAACACCACCATTAGACTTGATAGCATCTCCACGACAAAACCCAGCCATTTTCAGTGTCTGTCGTCTAGCCTTCGTCGCTCGCCGTCCACCTAAAGTTCATGCGACCGTCGGACTTCTTTCATGATTCCAGCAAGTTCTAGTGCCGATGGAACTCCCTAGCACCACCATCAGATTTGCCGACACCTATACATCAAAAGCCCCAGGATTCCAAACTTCGATTAGCTGTCGATTGTCGTTGCCGCCACCATCACCAATCTCTTCGAGCGACAGAGGTGTTTTGGATAGATTTTAAACCTTAAGGGAGTATTGTGGGGGTGTTTTTGATGAATTTCAAACATTTAGGGACTAAAATTTTTTTACAGAATACTGTCCAACCGACCGATCAAACCGATCAAACCAGAAACCGAACCCTTGAGCAGGTCATAGTCCGGTCCAGTTTTCGGAACATTATGGATCACTATAAAACTTCCTCAAGGCCTTCAAATGGACCAAACCGCTAGAGAGTTGCTTAAACTCAACTTGAATCGAGCTTGAGTAGTTTACATGTCAAGTCTAGCCGAGTTCAAGTTTAATAATACTCGACTTAAGCAATTCGTGAACCTATTCGAGCTCAACATATTATATAATATTTAAATTTTATATTAATATTATATATATAAATTAAATAATAATTACTTAAATTCGAACTCGATTAAGAGTTTGATTTTGATTCGGTTGTTATCAAGCCGAGTTCGAACATATCATATATCTATTGAACTCAACAATTAAAATTCAATCGAACTCGTAAGCTTCGAGCCTTTATCTATTCCAATCGAGCCAAGCTCGAGCTTTCAATACTCAGCTCACCTCGGTTCGATTGGAGCCTTAATTCAAGTGACCCTTATTATTTAAAGCACTACTATTTTATAAAGTTTTGGAATAATGGTCGATTTTCTTCTTTTTTTTTTTTTTTTGGTCCTATGCTTTTGATATTGTTGTCATTCTACTAGTTGTAATTCACCTCAGTTCATCTCTGAATACTGTCCAGTTGCATCAAAATCGAGGACAGAAAGCCCGAGGAGTCTGTTTGGTGGATAAGAAAATTGCAGAAAACGAAACATTTCCTTGTTTAATAAGTGAAATGCACTTGTGAAAACTAAAAGCCACCAAATCCTACCGACCTGTGAATCAGAAATTCCCAAAAGTGGCGTTAAGGTTTAATTTAGTGCAGTCTTTTTTCTTCCGTTTTCACCTTTTCAATGTTAACTTGTGTTTAGAGTAAGATGTTGAAACAACACCTACCCAGCTACCATGAACTGGACAGCTGCTTAAAGGTGCATCTGGAGCTTATTTTCTGCCTGGATCAGGAACAATTCTTCTGACACATGCGACTATTGTACGTGCATTGGATGCACGGACGAATTATTCCTGGATCAAATGCTGACCCGTTAAAAAATTAAGCTCATCCAAGAAGAGTTGTTTAATTTCTGGGTAAGTGGAGGCAGAAATTTATAAACTAACTAGTATTCTTGTTCTGTACCTTTCAGTGTGACCTCTGGGCGGTGCTGCTCAAGTTTACATAGTCAAAAGCAGGTTAAATTTTATTTAATACAAAATCTTTTGACTGGTTCTAGTATAGAGCTTTCACATCCTAAGAAAATTGCCTATGCTTCAAATCTCTAGTCTTGTGGAAGCAACTCTCTGACTTAAAAGATTAATGAAATAGGAATTTTCATATGAGCAATTACTCTAAGAAAAAATTCAGGCTTTTCTGTTCTGTATCCTTGGCTGATGGATATAGGAAGCAGCTCTTACTATGTCGAGTAGAGTGCTTTCAGTTAAAAGTTGTTTAGTTGCCTATACATTATCCATGATTTTGTAACTTATTCATCTCCTCTCAGCAGCAAAGACTTGCTCATCCTAATGGTGCTCCCATGATGAAAATAAGATCTCTACCTGCATATAATCTATTGAAGTTGTGAAATGGTGGTAGATAATCGTGAAGCTGCGTCAATCTAATCAGTTGTTACCTTTGTATATATGTATGTACATGTGTATAATGTATTGATGGCATATGGGACATGTATACATGTATTTGAGACTATAGATAGAAGAAAAATGCTGCTACAAGAAACATATTCATGGTGAAGGAGACACTCATATCATTGAAAATATGAATAGAAATTAATTATGGATGAATGAAAAGAGCATTATGTAAAGACGCGCTGTTATGTTATAAGTTCGTACGACATATCTTCATTGTTAAGCTCTCCACAACTCTGCTTCAAGAGCTAGATTTCTAAGCATTCCCATCAGTTTGATTGTAAAGAGTCATTTAATCAGAGAGTGAGTGTGGTTTACTTAAAATTACAAATGGGATTGAAGTATAGATAGTTTCAGTTTCAGAAATAAACAAGAAAGACATCAAGGAAGAGTATCTACAGTTTTAATTTTTTGTTTCTATGTTCAACATTTACAAGTATAAGGCCAAGGTACAACTTGCATAATTAACAAGATTCCTCCCAACTAGAAGGGGGCATGCATTGAGTTGACTAAATATGAATGCCATAGTCATGAATGCGCAGTCTGAATACAGAGATCGAATATACATGTTTCAGAGGAAGAACTGCATTAAGTGAAAATTTATGTCATGAAAGAGTTCTATAGCACTTACNACATTTAATCAGAGAGTGAGTGTGGTTTACTTAAAATTACAAATGGGATTGAAGTATAGATAGTATCAGTTTCAGAAATAAGCAAGAAAGACATCAAGGAAGAGTATCTACAGTTTTAAATTTTTGTTTCTTTGTTCAACATTCACAAGTATAATGACAGGGTACAACTTGCATAATTAGCTAGATTCCTCCAAACTAGAAGGGGGCATGCATTGAGTTGACTAAATATGAATGCCATAGTCATGCATGCACAATCTGAATACAGAGATCAGACATACATGTTTCAGAGGAAGAACTGCATTAAGTGAAAATTTATGCTATGAAAGAGTTCTGTAACACTTACTATCAGAAGTTGAAGAAATTCTCCAACTCCTTCACAGTGGGCAACTCAACTCTCCATACTACACATATTTCCAACTGATTCACCTTGAATTGCTTCAAGAGTCGGAACAATTAGATAACTTGGCCTCTGCTTTTACTTCTAGCAAAATTCTAGGGAAAAATTAAATTATTTTCTTTCGTTAATCATCCTTTTCAATCTGTTTGATATACTAAAATTCTGAGGAATTTCCTGATGCTTCAGAAAACTAACCAAGTTCCATTTTTTAGGTTCGAGATGAATTGTATGCAGCCAATTTTTCCCATATTCACCAATAATCCATGCATGAACACTGTCCTCCACTGAAATGATGGAATCGATATCGATCCCTCAACAATATCTCTCTATCATAAAGCCTAGATATGAGCTTAGCAACTGAGTGGCAGTCCCCACAAACACGAAGATTCTTCACAATCCGGATAGGTTGAGATGGATTCGCACTAATCAACCCAAATGCAATAGCTAACTTTTCACTGTGAAGGTTTAGGGCTTGCTCTTGTATGTCTTCTTCTTCAACAAGTTGCAAAAGGTGGGACTTGTTCGGTACATAACCCAAGGATTTTAATCTTGCCATTATCTCATCTAGCTTCGAATAGATTTCCTTGCAGAGAGGGTGAGAGTTATCTGCTGCTAGAAACTTATGAATTATACCATTGACCTCAATAGAGCTAGAACCCGGTTCTTTCTTAAGTCCAGAAACTCTCATACGCTTTCTTAGTTCAGAAACATTGTCCCATTTCCCTGTTTTGGCATATATATTAGATAGAAGCACTAAAGCTCCATGATTTTCAGGTTCCAACTCCAGCAACCGGCTACAAGCCTGTTCAGCAAGCTCAACATTGTTATGAATCTTACAGGCCCCAAGTAAAGCCCCCCATACAGAAGCACTAGGAGTTATTGGCATTTTCTCAATGAGTTCAGCAGCTTCTTCCAGAAGACCTGCACGCCCAAGAATATCAACCATGCAAGCATAGTGCTTGAATCCTGGCACAACCCCATAAACTGGCTCCATTTGATTGAAAAACATCCTGCCTTCCTCCACTAAACCTGTGTGACTACAAGCACATAGTACATTGGTAAAAGTCACAGCGTTGGGCTTGACCTTAGCTTCTTGCATTCTAAAGAACAAATCTATAGCAGCTTTCCCCTTCCCATACATAGCCAAACCAGCAATCATGGCACTCCAAACAAATACGTCCCTCCTCTTCACTGAATAAAATACCTCAAGAGCCTTCTCAAGATTCCCACACTTCGAATACATGTCAATGAGTGAGGTGGTCAGATAACAATTGAACTTCACACCTTGGTTCTTTATGTTGGCATGGATCTGCTCACCTACATCCATTGCTCCCAACTGAGCACAGGCTGACAGAGTACTCACAAAAGTGACCTCATCTGGGTTCACATTCTTGCTGAGCTGCAACTCACGGAAAACGGCCAAAGCCTCTTTCGGTTTCCCATTCTGTTCATAAGCTGATATGAGGGCATTCCATATAGCAATCTCTTGTTTTGGCACGGCATCTAAAACACATCTAGCTGCATCGTACTCCCCCAATTTTGCATACCCATCAATCATGGTCGTCCAGGAAATAATATCTTTTTCTTCGATCTTATCAAACAATCTTTTTGCATCTTCCAAACTCCCACATTTTACATACATATCAAGCATCGCATTACTCATAGTCAAGTCCATTTTTATCTCGTTCTTTTCAATATAAGAACAAACCCAGCTCCCAAGCTCCAAATCCTTTTTCTTTGCACAAGCTGATAAAAGACCCACCATTGTTACATCATTAGGCTTAACATTCGCTACCTCCATTTCTCTAAACAACTCTAATGCCATCTCAAAACGACCTCCTTGAACAAAACCCGAGATTATTGAATTCCAAGAAACAACATCTTTTTTATCAATCATAACAAAAACTCTATATGCCATATCCAAATCCCCACATGACGTATAAAAATGTATTAGTGAATTAAGAATAAATATATCATCAGCAAGAGAGGACTTAATTACCATTCCATGAAAAACTTGCCCTACATGTAACCTACTAAGTCCCGCAGCCGCTTTGATTAAAAAAGGGTACGTGAATTTGCTTGGATAATAAGGAGACTCATAAAGCATTTCCAAAAAGATTTTAACACTTTGAATGGGTTCAGAGCTCGACGAATAAACGCGAATGAGGGTGTTAAATGTGTAGAGATTTGGCTGGGGAATATGATCGAACACTTTACGAGCATACTCAAGGCTGGAAAAAGATGACAGAGAAGAGGCTTTGAAGAGCTTGCTGGCCGAGTAAGGGTCAAAGAACAGGCCTATACGGAGCATATGAGCATGGATTTGCTTTAGTTGTTTTATAGTTGAGCATTGACTGATTAGAGAGAAAACTAGGTGGTCACGATGACCGTTATCGACAGTTAAGGAAGTTGGGTTTGGGTAACGTGGAAGAGAAATAAGTGGGGTGCTCAGAGTTTCCATGAGTTGTGTGGTTTATCCGTCAGCCACCCAACTTGCGCTTTTATCGGATTTGTTTTCCGGAAAGAGTGGACGACTTGTCGTTCTGTATCTTCGACAAACGACGTGATACATCTCGCTTAATTTATTAAATGACACGTCGTTTACTAGTTTAGAAGCCAAACAATAAGTCGTGTATGTATACTTTCTAGACCTTGTTCCACTGTGGAGATGGAAATCTACTGTATAGGATGAGCTTCAGTCTTCCAAACCTGAAAAACATTTATATTGATAAAGTAATCGGATCTCACCCGCAGCCGGCTTCAAAGTTTCCCTTATTCATGACAAGTTTGTATTTTCTTTCAAAAAGATTCAAATGTATGCATATAGGTGTCATTCGTCCAAAATGCAATGGATGAGGCAAGGCCGGACGTCGAGTCTTCATGCGGGGCAGTCTCCATTGATGATTGGATATATCATATAAAATTATAAGCCTATCTATCATGGTTTTGTTTTACAATTCATCAGGAAATCTTATATCAGAAATAGCCAACTGTAAAAGTTATATTGAAGGGGAGGCTGCCTTGAGTTTCCCAAACACTGGGGAAAAAAAATATATATATTGTCGGCAGCTGGGCTCTATAAAGCTTGGGATGAAATGCAAATGGTGTCCAAGCTCAGTATTCAAGTTCCTTTCTACTGTAATTGATATGAAGCTCCTTGGCACTCTACATTCAATGAGAGACCTAGTCATCCTCCTCTGGTGCATTGTTACCGTAGCCAAAGCAAGTGAAACAGATCGTCTCGCATTGTTGGCCATAAAGTCACAGATTCACGATCCACTTGGAGCCACGAACCTCGGTCAGTTCTCCACCCCATCCGTTGTTCTCTTTATATTTAACAACCTCCAAAGCTTTAGCTCTCTCTTGTATGCTGGAATTGCAACCACTGAAGAGGAATTTTTGATGCAGTGTCAAGTATGAATACATCATTGTGTTTCAAGGATGATCGAGAAAAAGGCACCTGTTATGAATTAGGATACAACATGCAACATGTCAATATATTGGATTGCAGGTATGTATATAAGTGAAAGTGAAAGATCAATATCATCATCAAGACAGAAACACATGGCTCAAATTATCTGGCTTCAAGGCATAAGACAGTTTAGTAAACCCAATGATTTCATCATACAAGTTGTATGAAACAAGAATGCAGACACAACACAAATCTATGACTCATAAGCTATCAACATAATAATTTAATTTTTTATTGGAGTATTAATACAATGGCATCGAGAACACTACAATAGAGCAGCTGAATCACTGGACTATTGTCTCAATCAGTGAACTCAGATTTTTCTTTTTACGACGCAGTTGGCTAAATCCTTTTTCTTTTGATCACACACGGCTACCAGTGTACTTATTTCATACCAAGACATCTATTTAAATCAAACCAAGCTTACTTCTTTAACATGAACAACGTGGTCTCCCTTGCATGTCATAAGCTGATTTTGTATGTTTCACCATTCAATTTCCCTGTTTCTGAAGAATATATTCCTTCAACTGGTATAATACAAGGTTTGAAGTATGACAGAATTTCTCTGTTTCTTGGCCTTGAACTTCCCTATATTGCACAGCACAGGAGCCAAGAGCCGCATCTAGTTCAAGGGCTTTATCTGAAGCCAAGGCTGAGTCCGCCTACCAGACAATAACCAGCCTTAAAACACTCTTAACATATGAATGAAGATGTCAAATGTAAACCCAGTAACCAATTTCATGTCAAGTACACTCTAATATCAACTACTAAAAACCACACAATTTAGGGGAAACTGTAACCTACCTTGTTGGAATCATTTCCCAGCCAATAATGTATGTCATACTGAGGAGGGCCACTTTTCAGCAAGATGTCCTGTCCCAGATGAACCACAAAGTGAAACAACTTCATCAGAATGCATTACGAAACAATTCCAGAAAATAAAAAATCCTCAAACATCATAAATCGATTTTCTAACTACATTCCGTAGAAAAAATCAGCCAACTGATAACAACTTACTTAAGACGTATAAGCACTTCCAGTATAGAATTTGCCATGTGAGGACTTAGGAACAGGAACCAACCGCAGTTCTCAATGCACCAATTTCCAAACCACTATATATATTAAGCTAAGGATACAAACCATACTTCAAACAATCATGATCCATCATTAACACATTAGAATATCAAGTGCTGACAAAACCAAACTTTTCTAAATTAAGAACTTTAATTGCTTCAAACAATTGCTATAGTACTTATCTAATCTTCCATAAACAATAAACCTCATTATAAATCCGCACTGATTAAACAGAAAACAAAAGCTACCTACTTAAGAAACAATTAAACTAAAATCAAATTTATAACAAGTACGCCGTAGCTCCTGCACCCTCGAATGCTGAATCCACGTCCTTACTGTACAGAGCCATTTTTTCTCATTGCACTGAAACTCCACCAACACAACGACTTAATAAACTTTAACATATATTCAGCTTAAAAATAAAAACTAAAAATAATTAAAATAATAATAAATAATAAAGCCACGCGTCTCAGTCATGTACATTCTCTCCTGTTTTCTTAAGTGAGAAACAAGATCTGATGGAACAACAAGATATACCTCTTCTTGATGATTCTGACTGAACATGAATAACAGTTAAGATAGTCACTAACAAATTATAGTGCGGAAATGGAAGGAGAGATGAAGCAATAAAAAGTTAGGAACCGAAAGAGAGAGAAAATGACATGTTTGGCTTTATCATCCAGCTAATGCGTGGTTCCACTTAGTGGTGGACGCATCAACTTTTTTGATTATTCATTTCATGGTTTGATGAAAAGGAAGGTGATTGAAGCTTGAATAGAGGAAGTGGGCAGTGGGCTCAGGTGTTTGCCACGTCACAGGCGTTTCCCGCCCCTTTGAATTTCGGCTGTTTGACCATACGGCATGGATGGCATGCTTTTTTTTGGATTGTCAATCAAGTTGACTGGTCAGTCATGCCACGTAGGAATGATCTTAATATATAATAATAAAGCCAATTTAAGTTGGGCACTGATGGACCATGGGCCATTGGATTACCAATGCTATGAAAATCGCCCGGACTAGATCGTCCAATCGGACCGATTCGACTGGTAGCCGATGACATATCCAATTCAGTATCCTCTGAAAACCGCCATTTTCAATCAAACCGGATTGAGTCGCGGTTGGACCGCTAAAATGGTGTCGAATCACGGTCTAATCGCAACTCATCCCGCCGGATTCCGACATCTTTTGAGGGAGAAAACACCACCATTAGACTTGATAGCATCTCCACACAAAACCCACCATTTTCAGTGTCTGTCGTCTAGCCTTCGTCGCTCGCCGTCCACCTAAATTCATGCGACCGTCGGACTTCTTTCATGATTCCAGCAAGTTCTAGTGCCGATGGAACTCCCTAGCACCACCATCAATTTGCCGACACCTATACATCAAAGCCCCAGGATTCCAAACTTCGATTAGCTGTCGATTGTCGTTGCCGCCCACCACATCACCAATCTCTTCGAGCGACAGAGTGTTTTGGATAGATTTTAAACCTTAAGGAGTATTGTGGGGTGTTTTTGATGAATTTCAAACATTTAGGGACTAAAATTTTTTTACAGAATACTGTCCAACCGACCGATCAAACCGATCAAACCAAAACCGAACCCTTGAGCAGGTCATAGTCCGGTCCAGTTTTCGGAACATTATGGATCACTATAAAACTTCCTCAAGGCCTTCAAATGGACCAAACCGCTAGAGAGTTGCTTAAACTCAACTTGAATCGAGCTTGAGTAGTTTACATGTCAAGTCTAGCCGAGTTCAAGTTTAATAATACTCGACTTAAGCAATTCGTGAACCTATTCGAGCTCAACATATTATATAATATTTAAATTTTATATTAATATTTATATATAATTAAATAATAATTACTTAAATTCGAACTCGATTAAAGTTTGATTTTGATTCGGTTGTTATCAAGCCGAGTTCGAACATATCTATATCTATTGAACTCAACAATTAAATTCAATCGAACTCGTAAGCTTCGAGCCTTTATCTATTCCAATCGAGCCAAGCTCGAGCTTTAATACTCAGCTCACCTCGGTTCGATTGGAGCCTTAATTCAAGTGACCCTTATTATTTAAAGCACTACTATTTTATAAATTTTTGGAATAATGGTCGATTTTCTTCTTTTTTTTTTTTTTTTTGGTCCTATGCTTTTGATATTGTTGTCATTCTACTAGTTGTAATTCACCCTCATCCTCTGAATACTGTCCAGTTGCATCAAATCGAGGACAGAAAGCCAGAGGAGTCTGTTTGGTGGATAAGAAATTGCAGAAAACGAAACATTTCCTTTTTAATAAGTGAAATGCACTTGTGAAAACTAAAGACCACCAAATCCTACCGACCTGTGAATCAGAAATTCCCAAAAGTGGCGTTAAGGTTTAATTTAGTGCAGTCTTTTTTCTACCGTTTTCACCTTTTCAATGTTACCTTTGTGTTTAGAGTAAGATGTTGAAACAACACCTACCCAGCTACCATGAACTGGACAGCTGCTTAAAGGTGCATCTGGGCTTATTTTCTGCCTGGATCAGGAACAATTCTTCTGACAATGCGACTATTGTACGTGCTTGGATGCACGGACGAATTATTCCTGGATCAAATGCTGACCCGTTAAAAAATTAAGCTCATCCAAGAAGATTGTTTAATTTCTGGGTAAGTGGAGGCAGAAATTTATAAACTAACTAGTATTCTTGTTCTGTACCTTTCAGTGTGATCTCTGGGCGGTGCTGCTCAAGTTTACATAGTCAAAAGCAGGTTAAATTTTATTTAATACAAATCTTTTGACTGGTTCTAGTATAGAGCTTTCACATCCTAAGAAATTGCCTATGCTTCAAATCTCTAGTCTTGTGGAAGCAACTCTCTGACTTAAAAGATTAATGAATAGGAATTTTCATATAGCAATTACTCTAAGAAAAAATTCGGCTTTTCTGTTCTGTATCCTTGGCTGATGGATATAGGAAGCAGCTCTACTATGTCGAGTAGAGTGCTTTCAGTTAAAAGTTGTTTAGTTGCCTATACATTATCCATGATTTTGTAACTTATTCATCTCCTCTCAGCAGCAAAGACTTGCTCATCCTAATGGTGCTCCCATGATGAAAATAAGATCTCTACCTGCATATAATCTATTGAAGTTTGTGAAATGGTGGTAGATATCGTGAAGCTGCGTCAATCTAATCATTTGTTACCTTTGTATTATGTATGTACATGTGTATAATGTATTGATGGCATATGGGACATGTATACATGTATTTGAGACTATAGATAGAAGAAAAATGCTGCTACAAGAAACATATTCATGGTGAAGGAGACACTCTATCATTGAAAATATGAATAGAAATTAATTATGGATGAATGAAAGAGCATTATGTAAAGACGCGCTGTTATGTTATAAGTTCGTACGACATATCTTCATTGTTAAGCTCTCCACAACTCTGCTTCAAGACTAGATTTCTAAGCATTCCCATCAGTTTGATTGTAAAGAGTCATTTAATCAGAGAGTGAGTGTGGTTTACTTAAAATTACAAATGGGATTGAAGTATAGATAGTTTCAGTTTCAGAAATAACACAGAAAGACATCAAGGAAGAGTATCTACAGTTTTAATTTTTTGTTTCTATTGTTCAACATTTACAAGTATAAGGCCAAGGTACAACTTGCATAATTAACAAGATTCCTCCCAACTAGAAGGGGGCATGCATTGTTGACTAAATATGAATGCCATAGTCATGAATGCGCAGTCTGAATACAGAGATCGAATATACATGTTTCAGGGAAGAACTGCATTAAGTGAAAATTTATGTCATGAAGAGTTCTATAGCACTTACTATATGAAGTTGAAGGAATTCTCAACTCCTCTACAGTGGGCAACTCAACTCTCCATACTACATACACTTCCAACTGATTCACCTTGAATTGCTTCAAGAGTCGGAACAATTAGATAACTTGGCCTCTGCTTTACTTCTAGCAAAATTCTAGAAAAATTAAATTATTTTCTTTCGTTAATCATCCTTTTCAATCTGTTTGATATACAAAATTCTGAGGAATTCCCTGATGCTTCAGAAAACTAGCCAAGTAAAAGTTCCATTTTTTGGGTTCGAGATGAATTGTATGCAGCCAATTTTTCCCATATTCACCAATAATCCATGCATGAACACTGTCCTCCACTGAAGTGATGGAATCGATATCGATCCCTCAACATATCTCTCTATCATAAAGCCTAGTATGAGCTTAGCAACTGATGGCAGTCCCCACAACCCGAAGATTCTTCACAATCCGATAGGTTGAGATGGATTCGCACTAATCAACCCAAATGCAATAGCTAACTTTTCACTATGAAGTTTAGGGCTTGCTCTTGTATGTCTTCTTCTTCAACAATTGCAAAAGGTGGGACTTGTTCGGTACATAACCCAAGGATTTTAATCTTGCCATTATCTCATCTAGCTTCGAATAGATTTCCTTGCAGAGAGGGTGAGAGTTATCTGCTGCTAGAAACTTATGATTATACCATTGACCTCAATACAGCTAGAACCCGGTTCTTTCTTAAGTCCAGAAACTCTCATACGCTTTCTTAGTTCAGAAACATTGTCCCATTTCCCTGTTTTGGCATATATATTAGATAGAAGCACTAAAGCTCCATGATTTTCAGGTTCCAACTCCAGCAACCGGCTACAAGCCTGTTCATATTCAATGCAATCAGTATTACAAGTAAATCTATGCGGGCAGTATTGTTCTTTCTTCTTGTCTTTTTTCTAAAGTTTTCAATATCAATAGAGATTGGGGCATTTCCATAAACAATGTGCAATAAAGGAGCGGTATAAGTTCATGCTTATCCTATCAAGAAAAATTATGTGCTTTGCATGATCGCACCAAATGTTATTGGTACAGATAGCCAGCTACCAAGTACAAGATCATCATTCTAAGCAAATTTACCACATCATGTAAAGTTGTCTTTCAAAAGATCTGCCCATATAAAGTTTCCAATCATTTGTCTTTTACAAATGATTGAATAACACACCAAACCCACATCTGTTCCAGTTCCAAAATATTTGTAATACTTCCTTTTTAATAAGTCCTAATTCTTGTTATCCATTTTCAGAAGTAGATGAGCACAATTACTGATGTTCCACACTAGCCTTCATTTCAATTCAAGTTCCAAGATAAGCCGAATTGTAGTGTTTACAACTAACTAGAAACATGAAGCTTAATACACTTTAAGGGGGTAATTCCTAAAACTTTGTGCTTTTCCAAAGGGAACTGAGGGCTATAGAAACAAGAAGTATAGAATTAGAACAAATTGTTCTCATTCACTATGTTCCATCCTTTCATCAAGAGATGTCTCTAATCGCAAAAAATTTCTCTTTCAATGCAAATTTTCAAACACATAGTTCATAAACCAATAAGCATGTTAAGCAACACAGCTAAAAGTTTGGATTCAATAAAAAGTGTTCTACTGATACACCATGCCTACCATTGCACTCCCACGACCAAGCCATGCATAAAACAGATTTTCATCCCTTCCATTGCCGGGGTAAGTGTACTGCATAATATAGCAATCCCCACTGAAAAGCTTTGTCTGTTCTTGAGATGGAAGAAGGGACAATTCATCACCATTTACCAGCCAAACCTGATATTCACCATTGCATCCGCACAGAAATAGGATCAGATGCTTTACTCAGAGAGATGGGCTTTAAAACAGAAAAGAAGTTAGAAGGTACCTTCAGTATGCCTCTGCAATTTATATAAGGCTCGAAGTCTTCTTCTGGAAGCTCCTTAACATCATGACCATGTTGCTTGAATATTGCTGGGAAAAAAAGTAAAAGTGGAATTTACAAATATAATAATGAGTGTAAAACTACTAGTAACAAAGCCAATTTCTTTTCTTTACCACAATAGGTACAATACCTGCTACTTTTTCTCGACCTTCATCATAAAGCTTGGGTTCCACTGTTTGAGGCCAACTATCAAAGTAAGACTTAAAAACAGCAGTTTCTAATCCCTCAGTTAAAAAGGTTAAATGTGTCCCAGTTGACCTGCCCTGATTTCTGAGAAAATCCTGTAAAAGAGTAGCTAGATGGTAGGTCATAAACCACTCCCTCCAGAATGCAGGTAAGCAATCACATTCATCAACTTGCACAGTCTTCCATGTATTTATCACACATTCTCAAAACATTCAACAGATTTCCATGTTTATTCTCAATGAGTAACCTCACAGTCCATTGTAGTGATTCTTCAGAAATACAAATTTTTGTTCCACCATACGGTGACCGTTCAAGAGGTTGAATACAGAGTTTGACTCTGATATTTTGAAGTTAAAGAATAAGAAAGAACACAGTATGTTGGGAAGTCCTTGTAAAAAGGCAAAAGAGCTCTAGCAAGTCTGTGTATGTATTTGGAGGAGAAGGAGAGAGTTCTTACTTCTGAAGCTGAGATTGATGTCCTCCTTTCTGTAATTGAGGTATTTCTTCCCATCCAAACAAAAACTTCAGTTCCACAGTCCAACATATAGCACTTATCTTTTTCAAGCATATCTTTGTTGAATGAATTTACTCCAATTTGACATAATTTTCCCTGAAGATTTATCCTATAGATGAAAACTCCTTAAGCATCACTGAGTGTAAGGCATGTCATTAAATTTAAAATAAAGACAAAATTTAGAAGAAGAGACATAAGTTGGATCATAACAAATCTGAACAGAACTAGCTGGGGGAGTTGATGACAATCTTAGACAAGTTACTGGGTTTGAAAAAAAATCCATTTCTGAATTTATTAATATAGCCATTTAACATGCTTCAATTTACATATACATGTAACTTCCTTCTCTTATCTCAGCCACAAGAAATCTATTTGCACTTTTCTGCATGTACAGGTTTTACTGTACAGAGGAACAAAAACAAGTTGACACTCTGAATGATGCCTCTCAAATAACAAGGCAAAACTCACCAGAATAATGTTGTAGATGGTGTTTGGGATTGCTCAACATTTGAAGGCAAGTCCTTGGGAATGGGAGCATAACCACCAAATAAACTCCAGAATTCACCAACATCAGAATCACCGACAAACTTTCCATCCTCTGTAGCAACAAAAAAATTAACAACTGCAGTATCCTTTAGTTGAGGAAAATCTGGAAATGGAAAGAATCCAACCTATAGTTGCAACCTCGCAGTTTCCACCATGCTTGTTCTCTTTAATATATTTAACAACCTCCAAAGCTTTAGCTCTCTCTTGTATGCTGGAATTGCAACCACTGAAGAGGAAAATTTTTGATGCAGTGTCAAGTATGAATACATCATTGTGGTTCAAGGATGATCGAGAAAAAGGCACCTGTTATGAATTAGGATACAAAACATGCAGAACATGTCAATATATTGGAATTGCAGGTATGTATAATAAGTGAAAGTGAAAGATCAATATCATCATCAAGACAAGAAACACATGGCTCAAAATTATCTGGCTTCAAGGCATAAGACAGTTTAGTAAACCCAATGATTTCATCATACAAGTTGTATGATGTAACAAGAATGCAGGACACAACACAAATCTATGACTCATAAGCTATCAACAATAATAAATTTATAATTTTTTATTGGAGTATTAATACAATGGCATCGAGAAACACTACATAAGAGCAGCTGAATCACTGGACTATTGTCTCAATCAGTGAACTCAGATTTTTCTTTTACGACGCAGTTGGCTAAATCCTTTTTCTTTTGATCAGCACACGGCAGCTAACCGGTGTACTTAAGTTCATACCAAGTCATCTATTTAAAATCAAACCAAGCTTACTTCTTTAACATGAACAACGTGGTCTCCCTTGCATGTCAATAAGCTGATTTTGTATGTTTCACCATTCAATTTCCCTGTTTCTGAAGAATATATTCCTTCAACTGGTATAATACAAGGTTTGAAGTATGACAAGAATTTCTCTGTTTCTTGGCCTTGAACTTCCCTATATTGCACAGCACAGGAGCCAAGAGCTGCATCTAGTTCAAGGGCTTTATCTGAAGCCAAGGCTGAGTCCGCCTGCCAAAACAATATGCAGCCTTAAAACACTGTTAACATATGAATGAAGATGTCAAATGTAAACCCAGTAACCAAATTTCATGTCAAGTAACTCTCATATCAACTACTAAAAACCACACAATTTAGTGGAAACTGTAACCTACCTTGTTGGAATCATTTCCCAGCCAATAATGTATGTCATACTGAGGAGGGCCACTTTTTAGCAAGACGGTCTGTCCCAGATGAACCACAAACAAGTGGAACAAACTTCATCAGAATGCATACTAAGCGAACAATTCCGGAGAAAATAAAAAATCCTCAAACATCAAGTAAACGTCGATTTTCTAACTACATTCAATGCTCACTACTCGTAGAAAAAATCAGCCAAATCTGATAACAACTTACATTAAGAACGATATAAGCACTTCCAGTATAGAATTTGCCATGTGAGGACTTAGGAACAGGAACCAACCGCAGTTTCTCAATGCACCAAATTTCCAAACCACTATATATAATTAAGCTAAGGATACAAAACATACTTCAAAACAAATCATGATCCATCAATTAACAACATTAGAATATCAAGTGCTGACAAAAACCAAACTTTTCTAAATTAAGAACTTTAATTGCTTCAAGACAAATTGCTATAGTACTTATCTAATCTTCCAATAAACAATAAACCTCATTAATTAAATCCGCACTGATTAAACAGAAAACAAAAGCTACACTACTTAAGAACAAGATTAAACTAAAATCAAATTTATAACAAGGATACGCCGTAGCTCCTGCACCCTCGAATGCTGAATCCACGTCCTTACTGTACAGAGCCATTTTTTCTCATTGCACTGAAACTCCACCAAACAAACGACTTAATAAACTTTAACGTATATTCAGCTTAAAAATAAAAACTAAAAAATAATTAAAATAATAATAAATAATAAAGCACGCGTCTCAGTCATGTACATTCTCTCCTGTGTCTTAAGTGAGAAACAAGATCTGATGGGAACAAACAATGAGAATATACCTAATTCTTGATGATTCTGAACATGAATAACAGTTAAGATAGTCAACTAACAAATTATAATGGCGGAAATGGAAAGAGAGATGAAGCAATAAAAAAGTTAGGAACCGAAAGAGAGAGAAAAATGACATGTTTGGCTTTATCATCCAGCTAATGCGTGGGTTCCACTTAGTGGTGAGCATCAACTTTTTTGATTATTCATTTTCATGGTTTGATGAAAAGGAAAGGTGATTGAAGCTTGAAGAGAGGAAGTGGGCAGTGGGCTCAGGTGTTTGCCACGTCACAGGCGTTTCCCGCCCCTTTGAATTTCGGCTGTTTGACCATACGGCATGGATGGCATGCGTTTTTTTGGATTCTCAATCATGTTGACTGGTCAGTCATGCCACGTAGGATATCATCTTAATAATATAATAATAAAAGCCAATTTAAGTTGGGCACTGATGGGACCGTCCCGGGGCCATTGGATTACTATCAAACTTCCTTAAGGCCTTCAAACGGACCGAACCACTAGAGAGCTGCTCGAACTCAACTTGAATCGAGCTCGAGGAGTTTACATGTCAAGTCTAGCCGCGTTCAAGTTTAATAATACTCGACTCAAGCAGTTCCTGAACCTATTCGAGCTCAACATGTTATATAATATTTAAATTTTATATTAATATTATATATATAAATTAAATAATAATTACTTAAATTCGAACTCCATTATAATCACATCAAACTTGGGTTCGATTTTGATTCGATTGTAATCAAGTCGAGTTCTAACATATCATATATCTATCGAGCTCAATAATTAAAATTTGATCGAGCTCACAAGCTTCGAGCATTTGACTATTTCAATCGAGCCAAGTTCAATTTTAATAATACTCGACTGAAGCAGTTTGTAAACCTATTCGAGCTCAACATATTATATAAAATTTAAAATTTATATTAATATTATATATATAGATTAAATAATAATTACTTAAATTCAAACTCGATTATAATCACATTGAACTTGAGTTCGATTTTGATTCGGTTGCACTCAAGTCGAGTTCGAACATATCATATATCTATCAAGCTCAACAATTAAAATTTGATGGAGCTTACATGCTTCGAGCCTTTGACTATTTCAATCGAGCCAAGCTCGAGCTTTCAATACTCAGCTCACCTCGGCTCGATTGGAGCCTTAATTCAAGTGACCCTTATTATTTAAAGCACTACTATTTTATAAAGTTTTGGAATAATGGTCGATTTTCTTCTTTTTTTTTTTTTTTTTTGGTCCTATGCTTTTGATATTGTTGTCATTCTACTAGTTGTAATTCACTTCAGTTCATCTCTGAATACTGTCCAGTTGCATCAAAATCGAGGACAGAAAGCCCGAGGAGTCTGTTTGGGGGATAAGAAAATTGCAGAAAACGAAACATTTCCTTGTTTAATAAGTGAAATGCACTTGTGAAAACTAAAAGCCACCAAATCCTACCGACCTGTGAATCAGAAATTCCCAAAAGTGGCGTTAAGGTTTAATTTAGTGCAGTCTTTTTTCTTCCGTTTTCACCTTTTCAATGTTAACTTGTGTTTAGAGTAAGATGTTGAAACAACACCTACCCAGCTACCATGAACTGGACAGCTGCTTAAAGGTGCATCTGGAGCTTATTTTCTGCCTGGATCAGGAACAATTCTTCTGACTCATGCGACTATTGTACGTGCATTGGATGCACGGACGAATTATTCCTGGATCAAATGCTGACCCGTTAAAAAATTAAGCTCATCCAAGAAGAGTTGTTTAATTTCTGGGTAAGTGGAGGCAGAAATTTATAAACTAACTAGTATTCTTGTCCTGTACCTTTCAGTGTGACCTCTGGGCGGTGCTGCTCAAGTTTACATAGTCAAAAGCAGGTTAAATTTTATTTAATACAAAATCTTTTGACTGGTTCTAGTATAGAGCTTTCACATCCTAAGAAAATTGCCTATGCTTCAAGTCTCTAGTCTTGTGGAAGCAACTCTCTGACTTAAAAGATTAATGAAATAGGAATTTTCATATGAGCAATTACTCTAAGAAAAAATTCAGGCTTTTCTGTTCTGTATCCTTGGCTGATGGATATAGGAAGCAGTTCTTACTATGTCAAGTTTCTAGAGCCATAGTTATCAGTTCCTGGGGCGTAGATATACTTTTGTTTAAGACTGAAATATACTCTGGAAATGCTATGTGAAAGAATCTGGATGAATGAATGCATTAGTTAAAGAGCTAGCTTCAACTGGAAAGAAATTCAGTACTGGAACCCTTTGAAAGCCCTATTTAACGGATTTGGGTAGAATTCACTCCAAAAAACTAGTTCAATGGAGGAAGGAGCCCAACCAAAACTAGTTTAGGAGAGGAAAGAGTCCAACCACGTATATACACCACAAAAATCTGTCAAATTAGAGATGTGAGACAAATACAACTTCTAACGTTTCTCTTAAGAATGTGTCAACATTTATTTGGTTATTTTCCATTTTTTTTTTTTTTTAAGATTGCGGCTGGAAAAATGCATTGATACCCTGAGGGGGCGTTTGGTTCAAGAATGTTATATTACTGAGAATATTGGATTACTGGAAAGATATATTACCTTAAAAGATTACTGGAAATCTTTAGAAAAATATGTTTGGTTAGTTGGTGAATATGTTATATTAATATGTTTGGTTATGGGGAATAAATTGGTGGTGGCTAGGTGGCAGTGGTGGTGGTGGCCTGTAAATGATTTTAAATATAAGGGCATTATTGTCCAAAATTTTAATTAAACAAGAGTAAAATTGAAATAGGATAGTAATGTAAATTTGTTTTAAAGTAGGGGTATTATTGTCCAAAACTTTTATTAATAAGGGATAAAATTGTAATAAAAAAAATAACCCTGGTAATCTCAGAATACCTAAGAAAATTGAGGTAATCAGATTACCTCTGATATTACCAATAGTAACCATTATTGGTATTTAAAGATTACCGGTATCTTATATTACTTGACAACTAAATATGGTAATCATGTACTATAAGATGACATTACCCCAGTAATCCCACTTAACCCCCAACCAAACGCCCCCTCAGAGATATCTCTCTCCCTGGAAAAAAACAGATGAGATTGGTACTGACCTTTTGTATTAGTGGTTGGTACCTAGTCTCTTGAGAAGAGTGTTTTCAGTAGAAAGTTGTTTAGTTGCCTATACATATCCATGATTTTGTAACATATTCATCTCCACTCAGCAGCAAAGACTTGCTCATCCTTTCCCGGGATGAGTCTAAGCCTCTTCTTCTCAGTTACCTTCAATACTCTCTTCTTGTTAAAATCATTGGTTATGGTCTCTACTCTGGCAGCCACAAATGAGACTGATAGACTTGCACTGCTCACGTTCAAGTCCGTAGTAACTGATTTCTCCCCTTGGAATGAGTCTCTCCATTTCTGCCAATGGTTTGGAGTCACTGGCAGCCGCAAACACCAAAGGGTCACTGGGTTGGACCTGAGTGAGCAGAAATTAGTTGGATTTGTATCACCTTTTATCGGAAATATTTCTTTCCTTGAGTACCTGAACCTTGCAAACAACTACTCCTCTGGAGGAATTCCTCCAGAAGTCGGCCGCTCATCCAGGCTTTGAAATTTGAGCTTGAGCAATGCTTTATTTGACAAGGAAATTCCATCTAGTCTGTCTAAATTGTTCCCATCTCATGAGTCTTATTGAAAATATAAATAAAAATTAATCATGGATGAATGAGAAGAGCATTATGTCAAGACACGCTGTTATGTTCTAAGTTGGTTTACGACATATCTTTATTGTTCAGTTCAAAGCTCTCTACAACTCTGCTTCAAGAACTAGATTTCTAAGCATTACCATCAGTTTGATTGTAAAGGGTCATTTAAGTGGTCTATGGGATCATTACATTTAATCAGAGAGTGAGTGTGGTTTACTTAAAATTACAAATGGGATTGAAGTATAGATAGTCAGTTTTCAGAAATAACAAGAAAGACATCAAGGAAGAGTATCTACAGTTTTAATTTTTGTTTCTTTGTTCAACATCACAGTTAAAGCCGGGTACAACTTGCATAATTACAGATTCCTCCAAACTAAAGGGGGCATGCATTGATTTGACTAAATATGAATGCCAGTCATGCATGCACAGTCTGAATACAGAGATCGAATACATGTTTCAGAGGAAGAACTGCATTAAGTGAAATTTATGCTATGAGAGTTCTTAGCACTTACTATAGAAGTTGAAGAAATTCTCAACTCCTCACAGTGGGCAACTCAACTCTCCATACTACATACTTCCAACTGATTCACCTTGAATTGCTTCAAGAGTCGGACAATTAGATAACTTGGCCTCTGTTTTTACTTCTACAAAATTCAGGGAAAAATTAAATTATTTTCTTTCTTAATCATCCTTTTCATCTGTTTGATATACTAAAATTCTGAGGATTTCCTGATGCTTCAGAAAACTACCAAGTTTCCATTTTTTGGTTCGAGATGATTGTTGCAGCCAATTTTTCCCATATTCACCAATAATCCATGCATAACACTGTCCTCCACTGAATGATGAGATCGATATCGATCCCTCAACATATCTCTCTATCATAAAGCCTAGATATGAGCTTAGCAACTGAGTGGCAGTCCCCACAAACACGAAGATTCTTCACAATCCGGATAGGTTGAGATGGTTCGCACTAATCAACCCAATGCAATAGCTAACTTTTCACTTGAAGGTTTAGGGCTTGCTCTTGTATGTCTTCTTCTTCAACAAGTTGCAAAAGGTGGCTTGTTCGGTACATACCCCAAGGATTTAATCTTGCCATATCTCATCTAGCTTCGAATAGATTTCCTTGCAGAGAGGTGAGAGTTATCTGCTGCTAGAAACTTATGAATTATACCATTGACCTCAATACAGCTAGAACCCGGTTCTTTCTTAAGTCCAGAAACTCTCATACGCTTTCTTAGTTCAGAAACATTGTCCCATTTCCCTGTTTTGGCATATATTTAGATAGAAGCACTAAAGCTCCATGATTTTCAGGTTCCAACTCCAGCAACCGGCTACAAGCCTGTTCAGCAAGCTCAACATTGTTATGATCTTACAGGCCCCAAGTAAAGCCCCCATACAGGCACTAGAGTTATTGGCATTTTCTCAATGAGTTCAGCAGCTTCTTCCAGAAGACCTGCACGCCCAAGAATATCAACCATGCAAGCATAGTGCTTAATCCTGGCACAACCCCATAAACTGGCTCCATTTGATTAAAAACATCCTGCCTTCCTCCACTAAACCTGTGTGACTACAGGCACATAGTACATTGGTAAAGTCACAGCGTTGGGCTTGACCTTAGCTTCTTGCATTCTAAAGAACAATCTATAGCAGCTTTCCCCTTCCCATACATAGCCAAACCAGCAATCATGGCACTCCAACAAATACTCCTCCTCTTCACTGAATAAATACCTCAAGAGCCTTCTCAAGATTCCCACACTTCGATACATGTCATGAGTGAGGTGGGATAACAATTAACTTACACTTGGTTCTTTATGTTGGCATGGATCGCTCCACCTACATCCATTGCTCCCACTGAGCACAGGCGACAGAATACTCACAAAAGTGACCTCATCTGGCTTCACATTCTGCTGAGCTGCAACTCAGGAAAACGGCCAAAGCCTCTTTCGGTTTCCCATTCTGTTCATAGCTGATATGAGGGCATTCCATATAGCAATCTCTTGTTTTGGCACGGCATCTAAAACACATCTAGCGCATCGTACTCCCCCTTTTTGCATACCCATCAACTGGTCGTCCAGGAAATATATCTTTTCTTCATCTTATCAAACAATCTTTTTGCATCTTCCAAACTCCACATTTTACATACATATCAAGCATCGCATTACTCATAGTCAAGTCCTTTTTTATCTCGTTTTTTCAATATAAGAACAAACCCAGCTCCCAAGCTCCAAATCCTTTTTCTTTGCACAAGCTGATAAAAGACCCACCATTGTTACATCATTAGGCTTAACATTCGCTACCTCCATTTCTCTAAACAACTCTAATGCCATCTCAAAACGACCTCCTTGAACAAAACCGAGATTATTGAATTCCAAGAAACAACATCTTTTTATCAATCAACAAAAACTCTATATGCCATATCCAAATCCCCACATGACGTATAAAAATGTATTAGTGAATTAAGAATAAATATATCATCAGCAAGAGAGGACTTAATTACCATTCCATGAAAAACTTGCCCTACATGTAACCACTAAGTCCCCAGCCGCTTTGATTAAAAGGGTACGTGAATTTGTTTGGATAATAAGGAGACTCATAAGCATTTCCAAAAAGATTTTAACACTTTGAATGGGTTCAGAGCTCGACGAATAAACGCGAATAGGGTGTTGAATGTGTAGAGATTTGGCTGGGAATATGATCGAACACTTTCGAGCATACTCAAGGCTGGAAAAAGATGACGAGAGAGGCTTTGAAGAGCTTGCTGGCCGAGTAAGGGTCAAAGAACAGGCCTTACGGAGCATGATGGATTTGCTTTAGTTTGTTTTATAGTTGAGCATTGACTGATTAGAGAGAAACTAGGTGGTCACGATGACCGTTATCGACAGTTAAGGAATTGGGTTTGGTGACGTGGAAGAGAAATAAGTGGGGTCCCAGAGTTTCCATGAGTTGTGGGTTTATCCTCAGCCACCAACTTGCGCTTTTATCGGTTTTTGTTTTCGGAAAGAGTGGAGACTTGTCGTTCTGTATCTTCGACAAACGACGTGATACATCTCGCTTAATTTATTAAATGACACGTCGTTTACTAGTTTAGAAGCCAAACAATAAGTCGTGTTGTATCTTTCTAGACCTTGTTCCACTGTGGAGATGGAAATCTACTGTATAGAGGAGCTTCAGTCTTCCAAACCTAAAACATTTATATTGATAAAGTAAGGGATCCTCACCGCAGCCGGCTTCAAAGTTTCCTTATTCATGACAAGTTTGTATTTTCTTTCATAAATTCAACAATGTAAGGCCGAGGCGAGTCTTCATGCGGGGCAGTCTCCATTGATGATTGGATAATCATATAAAATTATAAGCCTATCTATCATGTTTTGTTTTACATTTCATCAGGAAATCTTATATCAGAATAGCCAACTGAAAAAGTTATATTGAAGGGGAGGCTGCCTTGAGTTTCCCAACACTGGGGAAAAAAAAATATATATTGTCGGCAGCTGGGCTCTATAAAGCTTGGGATGAAATGCAAATGGTGTCCAGCTCAGTATTCAAGTTCCTTTCTACTGTAATTGATGAAGCTCCTTGGCACTCTACATTCAATGAGAGACCTAGTCATCCTCCTCTGTGCTTGTTACCGTAGCCAAAGCAAGTGAAACAGATCGTCTCGATTGTTGGCCATAAATCACATTCACGATCCACTTGGAGCCACGAGTTCATGGAACGGTTTGTGGACTTGTGCGACGGAAAAGTGTTACTTCTTATTGGAGTTGTCGACTACTTCAGCATTAATGGTAACGGAGACGCACTCGGGGTCCCGTTCCCAGTCAGCGAACGGGTGCCCCCTCCCATTGATCAGACGGGGTCACAGGGGCAGCCCCTTGACCCGTAGGCGGTTTTGGGTTTTCCATGTATAACTGCTGTAGATTTCTTTTAAGTTACTAACTCTTTTTAAGTTGAGCTTAGGAATAGAATCCTTGTAAAACTAGTTTTATCTTTTAAACCTAGTATATAAACATATTTTCTCTTTATATGCGTGTGAGAGTAATTCATTTATTGTAAACGGAGAGGTGAGGATATTGTATAATATTGACTCAGCTGAACGTAGCCCATATTAGGTAAACCAGAGTAAATTGGTGCATATTATTTTTTTGTTACTGTTTGATTTTGTTTACTATAATATTTTGTTCCTGTTGTTGTCTCTATTTCGTTGACTGCTGGCCTACAGCGCCAAAGAGTCGTGGAGTTGAACCTGAGCGGTCGAGCATTGGAGGTACCTTATCACCTTATATAGGAAACCTCAGCTTCCTTAGGTCCATTTATCTCCAAAACAACAGCCTCTACGGCCAAATTCCCCCTGAAATCGGTCGTCTTTCTGCGCTTGAAACTCTAGCACTGGACAACAATTCCTTTTCCGGAACAATTCCAAGCAATTTATCTCGTTGCTCTAACCTCATCCAGTTTTTCGCCAACAGAAACAACCTTGAGGGAGAAATTCCAGCGGAGATTGGAAATTTGTTGAATCTTAAGATACTGTCCATTAATAACAATCATCTAAATGGCCAACTCCCAGCTTCCATTGGGAATCTTTCAGCTCTTCAGGGAATTGATATAAAAGAGAATATCAACTTGAACGGGAAAATTCCAGATACCATTGGCCGACTCAGCAGCTTAACTTTTTTTAACGCAGCTGCAAATAAATTTTCGGGTATGGTTCCTCCTTCACTTTATAACATTTCCTCCCTTGAGATGCTTGCTCTGCTCTTAAATGAATTCCATGGAAGTCTACCTCTTGATATAGGCTTCACACTTCCAAACCTGAAAGTATTTAGTATTGCTGCAAACAACTTCACTGGTTCTATCCCCGTTTCATTTTCCAATGCTTCAAATCTTGTGGAGCTTAACCTTGCTGATAATCAACTTAGTGGGGAAGTGTCAATTGATTTTAGCGGTCTGAAGAATCCAGTAGAGCTAAATTTAGGGGATAATTATTTGGGAAGTGGGATACATGATCTTTATTTTTTGACCTCTCTAACAAACTGTAGCACATTCGTATCCATGGGTTTATACAATAATCAATTTAGAGGGGTGCTGCCTCATTCCATAGCCAACCTCTCTAGAACGATGACAATAATAGCGATGGGGTATAATCAAATATCTGGCACCATACCGCCTGGAATAGGAAATCTTGTCAATCTAAATGCCTTTGGTCTGGAGTCTAACAAATTTATTACTGGCCCTATTCCTTATGGTATTGGGCAACTCAAAAACTTGGGAGCTCTGAACTTGGAAGATAATAATTTAGAAGGGAGCATTCCCGACTCCCTTGGTAATCTAACAATACTCACCAAATTATCGTTGGGATCCAATAATTTGCAAGGCAATTTACCCTCCTCTCTTGGAAATTGTCAGAATTTGATACTGTTGTCGGTACCCCGAAATAAGTTGATCAATGGTACTGTGCCTCCACAAATTCTTGGCATAACAAGCCTTCTTCAGCTGGACCTATCAGATAACCTTGTCAGTGGTTCTTTTCCTTTAGAAGTGGGCAATTTGAAGAATCTGTTATATTTGGATGTATCTAACAACAGGTTTTCTGGTGGGATTCCTGCTACTCTAGGTGGTTCTACAAGCTTAGAAATTCTAGCTGTGGGAGGTAATGCTTTTAGTGGAAGTATTCCTCAAGTCTCTAAGTTCTTTGAGAAGCATCATAGGCATAAATCTTTCCGGGAATAATTTTGCTGGCCAGATTCCAAAATATTTCGAGAATTTATCCTTCTTGGAATTCGTAGACTTGTCTTACAATCACTTTGAGGGCGAGGTACCAACAAGAGGAGTTTTCAGCAAGGCAGAAAATGTTTCACTAATTGGCAACGAGAAGCTCTGTGGGCGCGTATCTGAATTGCATTTGCCATCATGCCAAAGCCAAACCAACAGACCGATGAAATCAACCAGCACTTTGCTTAAAGTACTGATTTCCGTGATTGCTGCTTGTTTAATTTTATTAATATGTTTCATTGTTGTTTTTACTCGAAGAAGGAAATTGGCACGGAAACCTTCTAGCGTGCTGCAGATGGAAGAACAATTTCCAATTGTTTCTTTTGCAGAGCTGAGTAAGGCAACTAATGAATTTTCATTATCAAACATGATTGGTCAGGGACACTATGGCTTGGTGTACAAAGGAACTTTGGGTGAAAATAAAATCTTAGTTGCAGTGAAGGTGTTTAATCTTGAGCAAAAAGGGGCTTCCAAGAGTTTTTTGGCAGAATGCCAAGCACTAAGAAGCATTCGTCACCGAAATCTTGTCAAAATTATCACTATTTGCTCAAGCATAGACTATAAAGGGTCTGACTTTAAGGCTCTAGTTTATGAAAACATGCAAAATGGAAGTTTAGAGGACTGGCTGCACCAGAGCGATGATCAACCTGACCTGCGTAATTTAAGTCTCATTCAAAGACTTAACATAGCCATTGATGTGGCCCATGGAGTTGAATATCTTCATCATCATTGCCAACCTCCAGTCGTTCATGGTGATCTAAAGCCAAGTAACATTCTCCTTGATCATGCCATGGTGGCTCATGTGGGTGACTTTGGGCTAGCAAGATTTTTATCTGATTGCCCACTTAGTATCTCTTCCGAAACTCAATCAAGCTCAGCTGGGATAAAAGGAACTGTTGGCTATGTTGCTCCAGGTAACTACTTCATGTTTATGGTTTGATCTTTTTTATCATATGCAGCTAAAACAATGAATGCACCTATTCTTTCAGAGTACGGTATGGGCGGTGAAGTGTGTATGCAAGGAGATGTGTACGGCTTTGGAATTCTGTTACTGGAAATGTTCACGGGAAGGCGACCCACTGATAACATGTTTAACGATGGGTTAACTCTCCACGGATTTGCTATGAAGGCTTTGGATGAAAAAGTAATTGAGATTGTTGAACCTTCACTTCTGTTTGATGAGAAAGTTGGCAATTTTGCTAGTCATAAAGGGGGAAGAGAGAGAATTGAGGAGTGCTTGATCTGTGTCGTAAGAACTGGAGTCCTCTGCTCAATGGAATCTGCAGCAGAGAGAATGGAGATGAAAGATGTTGTGACAAAACTATGCACTGCTAGGAAAAAGTTTCTTAATACTATGATTCGATAGATTAGATTATTGTACTGTACCCAAAGCCTATGTTAGATACCATAACGTGGCCTCTACTTTCTTGAGTCTTGTGCTTATTAGATATTAACCCATTGAAGTTTCAATTTCCTTTGCAGAGGAAATGAGAATTATCTGCCGCTAGAAACTTATGAATTATACCATTTACCTCGATTGAGCTACAACCCGGCTCTTTCTTTAGTCCAGAAACTCTCATACACTATCTTACTTCAGAAACACTATCCCATGTCCATGTATTGGCATGCACATTAAATAGAAGCACTAAACTTCCATGATTTTCAGGTACCAACTCAGGCAAACTGCTACAAACACCTGCAAGCTCAACATTGTCATGAATCTTGCAGTCCCCAAATAAGGCTTCCCATACAGAGGCAGTAGGAGCTATTGGTATTTCTCTAAACAAGTCTAATGTCATCGCAAAACAACCTCCTTGAAGAAAACCCGATTTCATCGAATTCCAAGGAACAACACCAATCATAACAAAAGCCCTATATGCCATACCCAAATCATTCCATGCATAAAAATGTATTAGTGAGTTAAGAATTAAAAAAAATATATATATTATGAAACATTAGGAAATTTAAGCTAAATGCTCAAATAATCTATTCTGAGATTTCATTTCATCATTCTCCTAAGAAAACTTTGAAACTCTGTACTTCTGAAAAATTCTGCCCCGCCTTCAAACTCTAGGATTGAGAAATAATTTCTTTTCTGGTCCTATCTGAATTGCAAATCTAATTTAAGTTGCATTTCTTTTCATTACTTCATTCTTATGAGAAAACCTTTACGACTGTTGATCTCTATTTCCTCAAGCATAAACTTTGAAGGAAATGAAGTTAAGGCTCTGGTTTATAAGTACATGCTAAATGGAAGTTTAGAGGAGTGGCTGCACCAGAATAACAATGATAAAAAGGGTATGGCTTCTGCAATCGAATCAACCGGTGATATCAAGCCAGGCAATGTTCTCCTTGATCATGATAAGATTGCTCAAGTGGGTGATTTTGGATCAGCAAGATTTCTATCTAATGGCCTACTCACTACTCACTACCCACTTCTGAAACTCATTATAAGCTCAGTTGACTATGTATGCCTCAAGGATCACTATAGTAAATGAACCATTAGGGCTTCAGTCTTCCATTATTGATTACTATCAACAGCCCACCGTGTTTTAACTTTTTTAATTATGTTTTTGGAAAGGGTTGGCACCCGCATTCTCCACTTTCTCACTGCTTTTGAATATATTCATAAGGATAATATAAATAATGATTCCGTCGTGTGTGTTCATCGATGATGAAGCTCACTTGGTTTCCACTTGCACACAGGAAATGGACAATGGTGGGTATAAAGTTTTGGATGAAATGGGGTGGTTGTTAGTGCTTAATTTCTCCTTTGCTTTCTACTGTACAATTATGAAAAAAAAAACAAAAAGAAGGAAAAATATATGACTAAGACGTGATGAATTATTGTGTATAAAGCTACTGTTTTGATGAATTATTGTTATGTTTTTATGATATGTTTAGTTGACTTTAGTTGTGATTAAGACATATTTTGTTGTAAGTTTATTTCAAATTCAAATGTGTAAAAATTATCCAATGTTTTAGGTAAAACAGTGGACTGGTTTTGTACATATATTATCCATTTTCTATGAATGAAAAAGAGAGCACTCATTTTCATGTTGCTGCCATCTCTTTCCTTTGCAAAATCTCTCTTCCTCATCAGTCTCCAGTAGAACCATATGAACCAACAATATTTTATCCCCTTTTTTTCTTGCATGGCTTTCTCTATAAAGTCCTTCAATTCAACTGTTGGTGTTTAAGCTTATGCTGGATGTGCAAAGAAAAGAAGAACTGAAGAGAACTAATCTGTATTTCATTAGCCAACAAAAACTGAATATAACATGCCTTTTGCTTACTGTTACAACCACTGTCAGTAAGTCTTTTACATAATCCCAGCTAATCCACACAAATCTAACAACTACATTACACATTGGAGACACAAAACCTCAAAAGAAGCTGAGTTTACCTAAGCCAAATATAACACAAAAGTTGACAAATCATCCTAAACTACTGCACTCAAAACAGCACCATGCACGCCATTTTTGTTTGCATCAAAATATCTTCAAACTTTTGGTTCCAGCACAGCATCAACCTTCAACACTCCTCCTTGATGCTTTGGCTGGAAACACCAAGTTTTAGTCTTAAGTCTTCAAACTTGGACTTGGACAAAGCTTTTGTCATAATGTCAGCAACTTGATCTTCTCCTTTGCATTGCACTAAGCTCACTTCACCATATTGTTCAGCTTCCCTTACTGCATGATACTTGATCTTGATATGCTTAGTTCTGCCGTGGAGTACAGGATTCTTTTCCATGGCCACAGCTGACTGGTTATCACACAAGATTAATGTAGGACCACCCTGCACTTGCTGCAAATCATCCAGCATCTTCCTAAGCCATACAACCTGATTCACTGCAACTGTAGCAGAAACATATGTAGCTTCAGCAGTAGATTGTGCCACAGTCTCCTGCTTCCTTGACAACCAACAAATTGCACCCTGATTTAAGTAGAATACATAGCCAGAGGTACTCTTTGCATTATCCAGGGATCCACCCCAGTCACCATCAGTATACCCCAACAATTTCAGATTTTCGGATTTCTTGAACCAAATGCCTAACATGATGGTTCCTTTCACATACCTCAGCACACGTTTAGCAGCCTTAAAATGCAGTTCACTTGGGTTGCTCATGAACCTGGAAAGGTAACTTGCAGTGAACATAAGGTCAGGTCTGGTGGCTGTATAATATAGCAAACATCCCACCAAACTCCTATAATTCCTTTCATCCACTCTCTCTGCACCATCAGTTTTGCTCAGTTTCAGGTTGGGAACCAGTGGGGTATCCACTGGTTTACAATTCTCCATTCCAAACTTCATGAGAATCTCGGTTGCATACCTCTGTTGGCACACAAAAATCCCATCTGTAGTTTGACTTATCTTGATGCCTAGGAAGTATTTCAGCAATCCCAAATCTGTCATTTCAAATTCAGTTTCCATGGCTGACATAAACCAGTCCAACTCTTCAGGATTGCTCCCTGTTACCAATAATCATCAACATAGAGAGAGATCACAGCCAATCCCCTTTCAGTTTTCCTAATGTAGAGAGTGTGTTCATTGGGACTTCTAGTGTAACCAAGACTGCACAAATGGTCATTTATTCGGCTGTACCAGGCTCTAGGGGCCTGGTTCAAACCATACAAAGCTTTCCTCAGCAGGTACACATGATCCTCTTTTCCCTCAACCTTGTAGCCTTCAGGTTGCTCCACATAAATCTCTTCTGATATCCACCTATTCAGGAATGTTGATTTGACATCTAGCTGGAAAATTTTCCAGTTAAATTGGGCAGCAAGTGCTAGCAACATCCTGATTGTGTCTTGCCTGGCTACCGGGGCAAATGTGTCTGAAAAATCAATGTCTGGTTGCTGTGCAAAACCCTTGGCCACCAGCCTTGCTTTGTGCTTGTAGATTGAGCCATCAGGATTGATTTTTAGCTTGAAGATCCATTTCACCTGAATTACTTTCCTTTTTTCAAGTCTTGGTACCAATTTCCAGGTTTGGTTTTTATCAGTCATGCTGAGCTCCTCCTGCATTGCAGCCTTCCACAATTCAGACTTGGCTGCTTCATAGTAGTTTCTAGGTTCCACCACTGCCACATTACACCTTTCGTACACATCAGCCAGGGATCTAGTCCCTCTTACCGCATGTTCTTCATCCTCATCAGAATCTACCTCTCGGAATAGCCCCTCATTCATCTCTTCCTATCTTGATTTAGCTTGCACATCAATTCTTTTCTCTTCCAAGTTCTAGACTGCACTTTCATCAACATTTATATCCCTTGTGATTACAATCTTCCTTGACTCTATAGCCTTTAGTGTTGCTGCTGTAACCTATAAATATCCCAACTTCAACCTTATCATCCAACTTGGATCTCTTGCTTGTTGGAATCATGACATAGGCTATGCTTCCAAATACTTTCAAACTCCCCACAGCTAGTTTAACTCCACCCCATGCCTCAATTGGTGTTTGGTGTTTGACTGCCTTGGTGGGCAACCTATTCAGGAGGAAAACTGATGTATTAACAACCTCAACCCAAAACACTTTAGGAAGATTCTTCTCAGCCATCATACATCTGGCCATTTCCATAATGCTTCTGTTTCTTCTCTCACAAACACTATTCTGCTGAGGAGTGTACAGGGCTATGAACTGATGCTGAATTCCAGCTTCATTGCAAATTGTGCTGAATTCATTTGAGGTGTATTTTGTCCTATTGTCACTCCTTATGGTCTTGATCAATGTTCCAGCTTCATTCTTCACCAGCAGCTTGAACCTTTTAAACACAGCAGCCACCTCATTTTTCTGCTTTAGAAAATACACCCAGGCCACCCTTGAATAATCATCAATGAAGAGTACAAAGTACCTACTACCATTTAAAGATTCAGTCTTCATAGGACCACACACATCAGTGTGGATCAATTGCAGCTTGTGACTTGCTCTCCAGGCTTGATCCGAAGGGAATGATGGCCTGCTAAGTTTTCCAAGTTGGCAGGCAGTGCATAAGGTCCTTTTCTCCTCTATTTCGAGCAGATCCAACACCATGTCTCTTGACTTGAGTTCTTTGATTCCCAAGTAATAAAAGTGGCCAAACCTTTTATGCCACAATTCTGACTCTTCAACCTTACTAGTTAGTGCTAAATTTTCTATCCTTTTCCACTCTACCGGGAAGCTTTTTCCCAGCATTCTAACACACATTAATTCATTTCCCTCACAATCCTTTATAATGCAAGCATGGTTTTGAAAATGTAAAGTGTAATTCTTCTTTAACATTTGACCTACACTCAACAGATTTTGTGCAATTTCTGGTACAAATAGAACACTTGAAATAATCTTAGTACCTACTTGAGTTTGGACTGCCACATCTCCAATCCCTTTTGCTTCCACATAATAACCATTTCCAACCTTGACTTTGGACCTGTAGGTTCTATCTAGCCTGACAAAGTTCTCCAAATTTGCTGCCATGTGGTTAGTACAACCACTGTCTATCAGTCAAACATCATCGTTGGTCTGCATTGAGTAGCATGAAGCTACAAACAACTGCTCAGGTTCACTGCCCTGCTGCTGATCCTCTACAATTTGTGCTTGTTGTGATGGTTGTGCACCTTTGTTCTTGCACACCTTTTCAATGTGCCCGAACTGTTTGCATCCTCTACACTGGATCCTAGGTCTAAACCATCACCTATTTTCTGGATGTCCTTTCTTTTGCAGTGGGAACATGGTGGATAATTCCTTCCTCCACTCGGTTTTCCCCACTGTCCACCAGTTCTCTCTTTTCCTCTCTTGTCTCTAGCATATTTCCTATTGCTTCCCTGCATATTCATTCCCTTTTGAGCAGCCATCATTGCACCTTCATTGGAGTCTTCTTGTCTCATCAGTCTTCTCTGTTCTTGAGCCTGCAGTGCATGGACTAATTCGGTGAGGCTGATTTGGGAGAGGTCCTTTGAATCTTCTAAGGAAGATATCTTGGACTCAAACCTTTCGAGTAAGCTAACTAACACTTTCTCAACTATCATCTTATCACTCATCTCAACTCCCAACAATCTAATCTTATTCACCACACTCATAAGCCTGTCTACATACTCTTTAACTTTCTCCATCTCCTGCATTCTCAACATCTCAAACTCTCTCCACAGGTTCATCACTTGCATATTTCTGGTTGTGTCACTTCCCATGAACTCCTCCCTCAACCTATCCCATGCTTCTTTTACAGTTTCACACGCCATTATCCTTGTAAACACAAGGTCTGTTACTGCAGAGTGTATATGAGAAAGGGCTCTTGGAGCTTTTGACATCTCTTCCTCATACATCCTCATCTGATTCAGAGTGGGGTTTGGACCAAGCTGCGGTGGCTATTGCTCCTCTTCCACATACTGCCACAACCCTTGCCCTCTTAGATAGGCTTTCATTCTAACAGCACAAATGTGATATTGGTCCCCATTAAACACTAGAGGTGAGAGAGAAGCCGACTGAGCTGCCATGGAAACCAGGTTGCAGTTTTTAGGACAGAGTTGTTCTTTCAAAAGGTTGAAGTTTGATGGTGATTCGCAGGTTGATTTTGAGTTTCTTAGATGATGGTTTGTTAATCAAGCTCTGATACCATGTCAGTGTTTAAGCTTATGCCGGATGTGCAAAGAAAAGAAGAACTGAAGAGAACTAATCTGTATTTCATTAGCCAACAAAAACTGAATATAATATGCCTTTTGCTTACTGTTACAACCACTGTCAGTAAGTCTTTTACATAATCCCAGCTAATCCACACAAATCTAACAACTACATTACACATTGGAGACACAAAGCCTCAAAATAAGCTGAGTTTACCTAAGCCAAATATAACACAAAAGTTGACAAATCATCCTAAACTACTGCACTAAAAACAGCACCATGCACGCCATTTCTGTTTGCATCAAAATATCTTCAAGCTTTTGGTTCCAGCAGATTGCACTTCCAGCACAGCATCAACCTTCAACATCAACTTTAAATCAGCATCAACAATTTGGGAACAACATTTGTCTTTCTAATTAATCTGTGCCTTCAAACATGATCACTTCAATTAGCTGCCATGCCATTCTGCTGTGGTGCGGCAGCTTCCTTCTATTTTCTAGCTTTTTCACCCCCACAATTAATGCAAACGAGACAGACCGTCTAGCCTTGCTAGCCATAAAGACACAGCTTCAGGATCAACGAGGAGTCACAAGCTCTTGGAACAATTCTGTAAAATTATGCCAGTGGAGAGGCATAACATGTGGCCGACGGCACCAAAGGGTCACTGTGTTGGACCTAAGTTACCAAAGCATAAGAGGTCGCTTGTCACCTTATATAGGGAATCTCAGCTTCCTGAGATCCATATACCTTGACGGCAACAGCTTATATGGAGAAATTCCTCAGGAAATTGGTCGTCTGTCCAGGCTTCAAATTCTAGTACTGGCCAACAATTCCTTCTCGTTTAACATACCATCAAATTTGTCTCGTTGCTCTAAGCTCACGGACTTTGTTGCCGATTACAACCACCTTGTAGGATTAATCCCACCAGAGTTCGGCTACTTGTTGAAGCTGGAGAGACTTCACATCCTTAACAATCATCTGACAGGAGAACTCCCAGCTTCCATTGGAAATCTTTCAGCTCTGCAAAGAATTGATTTACAAGAGAATAATCTGAAAGGACGGATTCCTGACAGCCTAGGGCGACTAAGAAAATTGTATTATCTCAGCGTGCATAGTAATAATTACTCTGGTATGGTTCCTCCTTCAATTTATAACATCTCTTCCCTTGAGTCACTTTCTTTATCGAGAAATGCTTTCACTGGAAATATACCCCTTAACATCGGTTTCACTTTACCCAATCTGAAAGTATTTCGGAATTATGATAACAATTTTACTGGTCCTCTCCCAGATTCGTTTTCCAATGCTTTAAAACTGGTAGAGTTTGACGTTGCTGAAAACAGTTTCATTGGTAAACTGTCGATTGATTTTAGTGCCTTTAAGAATCTGAGTTGGTTACAGGTGGCGACAAATCTTTTGGGAACTGGGGAAGCCAATGATCTTGAGTTTTTAACTTCTCTAACAAACTGCAGCAAATTAGAACTGCTTGCTTTTTATCAGAATCAATTTGGAGGAGTGCTGCCAAGTTCTATAGCCAACCTCTCAACAACATTGACATTCCTTGTGTTTACAGAGAATCAAATATCTGGCTCCATACCTCCAGGAATAGCTAATCTTTTCAGACTAGATAGAATAGCTATGGACGTTAACCAATTATCAGGCACTATTCCACATGGTGTTAGTCAGCTTAAAAAGTTACAAATACTCTACCTGAATGATAACAATTTACAAGGGAGCATTCCCACCTCTCTAGGAAATCTTACACTACTATACCATCTTGATTTGGGATCGAATTTTTTGCATGGCAATATACCCTCCTCCCTTGGCAATTGTCAGAATTTGATTATGTTGTCTGTCTCCAGCAATAAATTCACTGGTTCCGTGCCTCAAGAAATTCTTGGCATAACAACCCTGTCAACTTACTTGGGCCTCTATGATAATCTTCTCAGCGGCCCTTTTCCTTCAGAAGTTGGCAACTTGAAGAATCTTGTTTTCTTGAATGTATCTAAAAACAATTTTTCTGGCAAGATTCCGGATAGTATAGGAGGTTGTACAAGCTTGGAATCTCTTTCTATGAAAGACAATTCTTTCAACGGAAACATTCCTTTTTCTATGATTTCTTTGAGAAGCATTAAAAAGTTAGATCTCTCTAGCAACAATCTGTCAGGCCAGATTCCAAAATTTCTGGAGAATCTTTCTTTTTTGGAGTACTTAAACTTGTCCGTTAATCAGTTTGAGGGTGAGGTACCAACTAAAGGAATTTTCAGCAACACAACAGAATTTTCAATAACTGGCAATGAGAAGCTTTGTGGGGGTTTAGATGAACTGCATTTGCCATCATGCCAATCCAAAGGATCAAAGAAACTGAAAATCACTCTTCTCAAAGTGTTGATTCCAGTTATTGGTTCATGTTTGATCGTATCAGCATGCTTCATTCTTGTTCTTACACGAAAAAGGAAATCTGGAAATCTGTCACAAATGGAAGAACAATACCCAAGGGTTTCTTACGCAGAGCTCAGTAAAGCAACTAATGAATTTTCTTCATCAAATATGATAGGACGGGGAAGCTATGGTACTGTGTACAAGGGAATTCTGAGGGAGATGGGAATGTTAGTTGCGGTTAAGGTGCAATCTTATGCAAAAAGGGGCTTAGACTAAACATAGCCATGTGATGGCTTCTGCGATCGAATATCTTCACCACAACTGCCAACCACCTTTGTTCATGTGATCTAAAGCCAAGCATGTTCTACTTAATCATGATTGGTGGCTCATGTGGTGATTTCGGGCTAGCAAGATTTCTATCTGATCACTCAGTTAGTACCACCTCTGAAACTCAATCAAGCTCAGTTTGGATAAGAACTGTTGGCTATGTTGCACCAGTACTATTCATTACAGTATTGATTCTTTTAATTTTATATTTGCCATAGATTCATTAAGAATAAGTTACCTCTCCAATGTTAACTGAAACAATAAATACACATGTTTTTCAAGAGTATGGTATGGGCAGTGATTTGTCGATGTCAGGGGACGTGTACAGCTTCGGAATCATGTTGCTGGAAATGTTCACAGCAAGCGACCCACTGAAGACATGTTTAGCGATGGATTGACTCTACATGATATGTCAAGATGGCTTTGCCAGAGAAGTGCTGGAGATTATGAAACTTCACTGCTGTGTGAAGGAAGGACTAGAGGTGCAAGGATGAGATTGAGGAGTGCTTGGAATCGTAGTTAGTATTGGAGTTCTCTGCTCAATGGAATCTCCAACTGACCGAATGGAGATGACAGATGTTTAACAAAATTATGTGCAATCAGAAAAAAGTTTCTTGGAAACAGATTAATTGAAATTGTCAGATGCTAGACATAAAAGGTCCTGTGTTTGTATTAAGGGATCAAATAATTACCAATAAGCAGACTGTATTTCTTGCAGACTTCAATTTTAGACCATTAAGAGATTGTACCGAGTAATAGCAGTACACATTGTAAGTTTTCAAACCTACAGGATTTTATTTAGGGTGTTGTGTAAGATTAGAAATTTGCAAGGCTGTTTTAAATTTGTTGCTTGTTGGTGTTGTTATTGTTGTTTGGTCGGTGCAGTAATTTGCACTTTGGGAGTATTTATGTTTAATCAAGTGTTATTTGCTGGTGCGTTAATGGGTTCTACTGTTTTATGGCTCCTTCTGAGATTGTCAGCTTATTGATGTTGTCTTTGATTGAATTAATTATACGAATATCATCAAGCCATGAGGAGTTTCATGAAAGGCCGTAACTTATGGCGTTATATTACTAGTGATATCTGTAGAAAAGTTGCTTAATAGTTCAAAGGTGAGTTCACATGGTTTGGTCTATAGCTCATAAATACCATGAACATTTTTGTCTCACATTCACACATGTTCAAAGACTTGAAATTGGACTTCTACAGAGAAATTTAATGCCACAAATTAGAAGCAAAATTTTAGCTTCATGTCTCTCAAATAACGTAGCTGCGTTTGGATGAATATTTTCATCCATATTTTGAGTCAGATTTTGAGAATAGTTTTTGGTTCAATATTTAGACTAGGATTTTCAAAATTCTATTCCAACACTTTTCTGACACTTGACCGTTTGAATTTTTTTTTTTTGCAGTCTTTCTCTTTTTCATGCGTTCTCTTTTGACACTTATGATACGTTGAATTTTTTTTTTTGTAGTTGTTAATGAAGTATATGTTTAAGAGAGATTGTATGTTTCTAAATTAGTACTTTTGTCATATATGTATTAATATGATGTTTTTAGACAATTGGATTAGTACTTGAAATTAATATGGGTTTTTGTTTCTTAATATCTACGGGTGACAAAATTACCAATAAAATATTTAGTATTATTAAAATGTAACTTGATAAGTTATATATATAATAATATATTATTTTAACAAAATTCAACAAAATATTATATTAATAAATTATTTATAAAAAATATATATTAATCAAATATTCAACACAAATATCAAAGTCAAAATACTTAACCAAACACATATTCTGTAAATCCTATTCTCGTAATCATAACCCTATCCAACTATCCAATCCTATCCCTAAAATCCTATCCAAAATACTGAACCAAACGCAGCCATAAATATTCTCAAGCTAAGATGGCAGCTACAAGTCTTTACAGATCCCTTATTTTGTCCCGTAAATTTTGACATGAAATGGCTTCCCTTCACTATAAATATGGGTGCATTTTGAGGGGAAGAACAACACACATTCTCAAGCAATACAAACACTAGAGACGGAAAACTTGAGTTCGAGAAATTAGAGTGTGTGAGAGATATTGGGTGTAATTGGGATTTGAGATTGAGAGTTTCACCAAATATTGTATACTCTATTTTGTTAGTGAAATTCTTCTTCTATCTTCGCCCATGGACTTAGGTTAAAAAACCAAACCATGTAAATTATAGTGTATATCGTATGCGTTATTATTTTTTCTTGTTTTTTTTTTACCGTTAATTTTATCCGTGGGGTTGGTTCTGTCACAACAATATCAAAGAACCCGATCAAAGTTAGCATGAAACCAATGAAAATTTTCAGGTTCGATCGAATTGCAATAATACAATCTTGGGCTTGTATTAAGACATTATTAGTTGTTAATATACTGAGTCAATTCAATATTCTTCAGTTGAACGGTACATTTTTTTAATAGAAGAAAGAAAAGTATATATTCAAACTTTACAAATTTACCGAGGACACCCATCCAGAACTTGCTAATATAACATTATTCAGTTGAAAAAGTAATTGCAGAAATTGAGATGATAACAAATTAACAAATTCAGTCAAGTTCAACTGGGTTTTTAAAAGTTGAGTATCTTTTTTCTGCGACATTTTTTCTTCGTGGTTTCAAACACTGTCGTGGTGTCTCTGTTCTATGTCGGCGTAGAAGAAAAACTACAAGCTTTGAGTGATCATCTTGCTATGTCATTTCCTGCGTCTGCCAGGTATTTTCCTGTCTTCTTTTATCGTATTTTCAAATAATGTGGATTTCCTCGAAGTTCCCTAGATGTTTAAAAATTTCCGTGGAGTGGAAAGGAATTAGTGTTGACTGAATATTTTATTTCTCCTAAAGTTGAAAAGAGCAGAAGAGCTCAAACAAGTCAAAGGGAGCGCGTTTTGTTTTTCAACAAATGATCCACCGCGTTAATGTAAGTCAATTTTATAAATTAATTAAGTGATTTCAGACATCAGAATTTCTTTTTTTTTCTTTTGTTAATCAGGTTAACTTGTGCATACCTTAACTAGTCTTCTAGAGACTTGAAGTTAACAGCCAGATAAGCCTCCATAGTTATCCGTTATTAGTAGTCGTAGATATTCAAACTCAAAACCTCTTAAGTAATACGTCTACGAGCTTAATCCCAAAGAAACCATCAAGCTAGTTTCAGACATCAGAATTTCGACCATTCAAGGGTTCAAATTACATAATCATGGTGATGGATTTTTCTTCAACAAGAATTACTTTAATTTTATAAGTATTAGGTAAATGTGTACGTAGATCAATATTAAAAAGAACACCAACATATTATTCAAGCGTTCGGATTACATATTGATGGTAACAGATCCTTTTAACTGATTGTATAGACGATTCTGACTCTATATAAAGGTCCTTTGCAGCAGCTTGAAACCAGTATCAACATTTTGAGCTCAACATTTTGTCTTTCTTTAATTCGAAGGTCATAAAAAATGCTTAGTTCAATCAGCTGCCCTGCCATTCCACCATGGTGCATCACCTTGTTGCTGTCTTGTAGCTTCGTCACAATTAGCGCAAACGAGACAGACCGCCTTGCTTTACTTGCCATAAAGTCACAGCTCCAGGATCCACTAGGATTTACGAGTTCATGGAACAGCTCTGTAAGCTTCTGCCTATGGAGAGGTGTAACTTGTGGTCGTCGGCACCAAAGGGTCACTAAGCTTGATCTAAGAAACCAAAGCCTAGCAGGTTCTTTATCACCATATATTGGGAACCTCAGCTTCCTCAGGTCCGTCAACCTCAGAAACAACAGCTTCTATGGTCAAATTCCAAATGAAATCGGGCGTCTATTCAGGCTTGAAAGATTAATTCTGAACCAGAATTCCTTGTCAGGTACAATACCAACCTCTCTGTCCAATTGTNAATTTTATTCAATATTTTTTAAACCCCCTAAATTTGTTAATTCAATTAAATACCCCTAAATATTTTTAATATTTTTGTTACAGTGACTCCGGCCACCCTCCGGTGGTGGTGGCCGGCTGTCCATATTTGAGGGTGGATTGGGGGTGTTTTTATTAACTTTTAATGTTTTATTATAAGGGGTGTTTTGTAAAAAAACAAACATAAGGGGTATTTTATAATTTGTAAATCCTACATCGTAATACCCACCCAATTCAACTTTTTTATTAACTTTTTTTAAAAAACTTTTCCCAAAAACACAAAATTGTGAAACGGAGCCTAAGTTTTCAGTTTTCATGTTCCCACCCTTAAACCAACATCTTTAGCAACTTTTAGACTCTGACACAAGCACAGAAAGTGATATTACCATACTGCCCTTTACAAAATATTTTTAAATTCTTTTAACCCCCACCCCCTCTTCCAAGCCTTTTTTGGGCCGCAACTTTCGAGCCTTTATCCGGGCGCCCTTCCCACTAGAAATGGCCCTCTACCCAGCCATTCCACTCCCTGGTGTACCCTCTCCAAAACCCCCTTATCCCCCAACCCTCTTTGCTCCTTTTTCACGATCTTGAAGGCCATTTTCCTTGGGTTTTGTTTGAGTTTGAAGGATTGTTTTGGGCTGATTTTGTTGGATGTTTGGACGCAAATTGAGATTCTTTAGAAGTGTTTGTGACTTGTTGGATTTTTCCGATCGCCAACTCCTCTGAAAGCTCTCTCCTTTGACCTTCTTTCCAAACAAACACAACCTGTTCGATAAAAGGTCGCAATCAGCGACCTGCCCTCCAACTTGCGCTCTCATAAACCTTCTCCTAGCCGCCGCCACCACCCCAACACCTTCCACGGCCACAACCACCTCACCACCAGTAGCGTCCCCACCATCCTCTCCAACCTTCTTTTTACCATTTTAGCAGGAGATGGCGCATGTTAGCTTGTGTTGTTTGGGTGCTTTTTTCCTAGCCGATTTCCTCTCGCCCACGACTGACCATCCCTTTCTGTGAGGGTTATTTAACTTATTTTGAGACTTTGGGGGTTATTTTGAAACTTTTATTTTTAAAATAGTTAAATGACCATTTTAACGTTTTATTAAATGGATTTTTTTGTCAATTTAAGGGTAAGAATATGAAATTTATTAAACGGGATGGAAACTTGGCATTTCGCCAAACTTGGTGGGAACATGTCGTTTACTCATATATTGAGTTAATTCTCTGTTATTCATTTAAAGGATACAATTTTTTAATAAAAGAAAGAGAAGCCGGCTTCATTTCATTCATTATTTGATGATTTTTAAAATAATATTTAAAAAAAATTAAAATAATTAAAATTAAGTTATCTTTACGAAAATATAATTATTAATGTTTTATGAGATAAATAAAATAGAATAAAATTTAGATGTCAGTCTATGTCCCCATTTTAGTAAAATAGAATAAAAAATATAAACAAAATTAAGAAACTAACATCTACTGGACTAATGTCTAATATTTTAATAATAAAATTTTATTAAACAAAATTAATGGACTCGCCATTAACAATGCTTTTAAAAAATAAAAAAAAATTTAGACGTCAGTCTATGTCCATACTAAGCATTTTTCTTTGCAAAAAGCCTGCAAGCATGAGATCAGATTCATGAACTGCAGAAAATCACCAATCAAAGTTGTGTAAGCTGAAAAAGCAGGCCTGAATTTGAGTGTTGTTTGTTGAAAATGTCAGAGAAACTTTAGTTGTTGAAAGGGTGACTCTTTACAGGTTTGGGAATACTTCCCTGGAAAAAAAAAAAACAAGAAGCAGGCGCCATGAAAATAAAGTAAAAAGCAGGTGCTATTAAATAGAGAAATGGACGGCCCGTCCAATACTCTATATAAAGGTCCTTTGCAGCAGCTTGAAACCAGTATCAACATTTTGAGCTCAACATTTTGTCTTTCTTTAATTCGAAGGTCATAAAAAATGCTTAGTTCAATCAGCTGCCCTGCCATTCCACCATGGTGCATCACCTTGTTGCTGTCTTGTAGCTTCGTCACAATTAGCGCAAACGAGACAGACCGCCTTGCTTTACTTGCCATAAAGTCACAGCTCCAGGATCCACTAGGATTTACGAGTTCATGGAACAGCTCTGTAAGCTTCTGCCTATGGAGAGGTGTAACTTGTGGTCGTCGGCACCAAAGGGTCACTAAGCTTGATCTAAGAAACCAAAGCCTAGCAGGTTCTTTATCACCATATATTGGGAACCTCAGCTTCCTCAGGTCCGTCGACCTCAGAAACAACAGCTTCTATGGTCAAATTCCAAATGAAATCGGGCGTCTATTCAGGCTTGAAAGATTAATTCTGAACCAGAATTCCTTGTCAGGTACAATACCAACCTCTCTGTCCAATTGTTCTAACCTTGTCCTTTTTTTTGCGAATAAAAACAAGCTTACTGGAGAAATCCCAGAAGAGATTGGCCATTTGTCGAATCTCGTAAGGGTGTCCCTTGGTTACAATAATCTAAAAGGACAACTTCCAGTTTCCATTGGGAATCTTTCAGCCCTGCTGGGATTTGATGTAAAAGCCAACAGCTTGGACGGGAGGATTCCTGATACATTTGGCCAACTAAGAAGCTTAGATTTTTTTAACCTGGGTCAAAATAATTTCTCTGGTGCGGTTCCTCCTTCAATATATAACATTTCTTCCCTTGACACATTTGCTCTACTATCAAATAGATTTACTGGAAATCTACCACTTAACATAAATTTCACCCTTCCCAACCTGAGAAGATACAATATTCATGGAAATGATTTTACCGGTTCTCTCCCAGATTCATTATCCAGCATTCCAAATATTGAAACGCTTGATGTCTCTGACAATCAACTCAGTGGGAAAGTATTGACTGATTTTAGTGTTCTTAAGAATCTCTCATGGCTAAATTTGGGTGATAATAATTTGGGAACTGGGAAAGCAGGTGATCTTGATTTTGTGACCTCTCTAACAAACTGTAGCAAATTGCAAGTGCTTGGTTTATATCACAATCAATTTGGAGGGCTGCTGCCGCACTCTATAGCCAATCTGTCAACAACATTGACTAGACTAGCCATAGGAGCCAATCAAATATCTGGTACAATACCACTGGGATTAGGAAATCTTATCAGACTAAATGTAATTGGTATTGAGTCAAACCAATTAACAGGCAATATTCCAGAAGTTATTGGTCAGCTCAAGAACTTACAAGCTATAGCATTTTCTGATAACAATCTACAAGGGAGCATCCCCAGCACTGTAGGTAACCTAACACTTCTAAACAGCCTCTGGTTGGCATCCAATAAGTTACAAGGCAACATACCCTCTTCCCTTGGCAATTGTCAAAATTTGATGCTGCTGAACATTTCCCGAAATAAGCTCACTGGTATTGTCCCTAAACAAATTCTTGGCATTACCACCCTTGCACTTCACCTCGACATTTCTAATAACTTTCTCACTGGCCCTTTTCCTTCAGAAGTGGATAAATTGATCAATCTTGATCGGCTGGATATATCAAGAAACAATTTTTCTGGTGAGATTCCTAATACACTTGGTGCTTGTATTACTTTAGAGTATCTAAATATACAGGGCAATTCTTTTCTTGGAGGCATTCCTCAGTCTTTAAGTTCTTTGAAAAGCATTAAACAGCTAGATCTCTCAAGCAACAACTTGTCAGGCGGGATTCCAGAATTTGTGGAGAATCTATCATTTTTGGAATACTTAAACCTGTCTTACAATCACTTTGAGGGCGAGGTACCAAAAAAAGGAGCTTTCAGCAATTCAACAAAAATTGCACTTGCTGGGAATGAGAAACTTTGCGGGGGTTTAGATGAACTGCATTTGCAACCTTGTCAGTCCAAAGTATCCAAGAAGCTAAAAGTCCCTCTCCTGAAGGTGATAATACCAGTGATACTTTCATGCTTGATCTTGTTATCATGCTTCATTGTTGTTTGTACTCGACGAAGGAATTCTGCTCATAACTCTTGTAGTATTCCGCGCTTGGAAGAACAGTTTCCAATGGTATCTTATTCAGAGCTGAGGAAAGCAACTAATGAATTTTCATCTTCAAACATGATTGGCACGGGAAGCTGTGGCTTTGTATACAAGGGAATTCTGGGTGAAAATGGAATGCTAGTTGCAGTGAAGGTGCTTAATCTTACGCAAAAATGGGCTTCCAAGAGTTTTAGGGCTGAATGTGAAGCATTAAGAAGCATTCGTCATCGAAATCTCATCAAAATTGTCACTATTTGCTCGAGCATAGATTTCAAAGGGGCTGACTTTAAGGCTCTAGTTTACGAGTATATGCCAAGCGGAAGTTTAGAGAAGTGGCTGCACCAGAGCTATGATCAACTCCATGTTAGTAATCTAAGTCTTCTTCAAAGATTAAACATAGCCATCGATGTGGCTTCGGCAATTGAATATCTTCACCTCCAGTGCCAATCACCAATTGTTCATGGTGATCTAAAGCCCAGTAACATTCTGCTTGATCATGACATGGTGGCTCGTGTGGGTGACTTTGGCCTAGCAAGATTTCTATCTGATCGCCCGCTAAGCACCGCCGCCCCTGAAACTCAATCAAGCACAATTGGAATAAAAGGCACTGTAGGCTATGTTGCCCCAGGTAAACACTTCAAGTTTGATATTTTAATTATATCTTTAATAATACCATGTGGCTCATGTTTGATATTTGTTCAGAGTATGGTTTGGGCAGTGAAGCTTCGACACCAGGAGATGTGTACAGTTTTGGAATTTTGTTATTGGAGATGTTCACAGGAAGGCGACCTACTGACAGCATGTTTAACGATGGGTTAACTCTCCATGGATTTGCCACCATGGCTTTGCCAGAAAAAGTGATGGAGATTGTTGAACCTTCAATTGTGTTGGGAATAGGAGTTGACAACTCTGCAAGTCATGCTGAAAAAAGAGAAAGAATTGAGGAGTGCTTGATTTCTGTAGTGAGAACTGGAGTTCTCTGCTCTGTAGAATCTCCAACAGACAGAATGGGGATGACAGACGTTGTAGCAAACTTGTGTGCTGCTAGGAAGAGCTTTCTTGATAGCAATATCTGACACTTGATTAAGGATGTTAAGCAAAGTGCTCAAAAAATATATGTCAAGGACCAAGTAAATCACAAATGTGATAAATGTTAGATGATCACTTTGTGGGGTTCAAACACAAGACCTCGGGATAATCTAAGGCCTTGTCATCCGGCCACAAGCAAGTGGTTGATATTGCAGTTTTTGCTTGTATTAAGACAGTATTCCAAGATATTATAAATGAGATACGATTCCAAGATTTAAGTACAACTCAAGGATGTCCATCTAGAACTTGCTAACATGCATTATTCAGTTGAAAAGTGATTGCAGAAATTCAAATGACAAATGTTATAGCAAAATTATGCACCGCTAGGAATAACTTTCCCAATAATAAGATTTGATGCATTCTATATTGTATAATTAAGGGGATTAATTTAACATAAGATAGCCTGTAACTCCTGCAGTCCTGTGCTTATGAGACACCATCTTTTGATGTTTCCTGTCAATTCAATAGTCTTTAGTTGAAGGGAAATCGCAGCAACAGAGTGAAATGAATTCAATTCTACTGTTCCTTTGAAATAACAACACAAGCTCAAAGTTCATAAGACCAGAATCTGAAAATTTTCTTCTGGCAATTCAACTTTCTCTGTTACTTCAACATTAAGTACACAACAAATTAGAAATTTAGATCAATAAACTCTCCAATTGAAATGCATGAAGATCCACTATCTATCAGAGACTTCCTGCCAATCTCTGATATTTCCTTAACTTTCTTCCTAATCTCACTCTCGCCATCCATTATGCATCTCAAGGTTCTCTCTATCTCGTTTGCTGGTATAACATCTCAACCCACCCTCCTATAATCTAATCTCATCTCCACAGCTAATCCCAGCTCCTTCACCATCCTAAATGCATTAATCTGTTGTTCTGCATACATGGGCCACGTTACAATTGGTACACCATACCACAAGCTCTCTAAGATTGAGTTCCATCTGAAATGAGATACAAACCCTCCAATTGCATTGTGTGCCAGGATCTCCACTTGAGGAGCCCGCCAACATATCATTCCTCTTCCTCTGATCCTCTCCAAAAATCCTTATGGTAAAACATCATGATTTGTGCTATGTACAGATGGTTCATCTTTTGGTGGTGAGACACATATAGACCACAAGAAACATTACCCACTACGCTCAAGTCCCATTGTCAACTCTTTAACTTGTGCTGTACCAAACCTCCCCAAGCTTCCATAACATAAATACAAAACTGAAGATTTTGGCTGATCATTAAGCCATCTTAAGATCCTCTGGCGTTGAGCCCCTTCCACATCAGCATTGACCTTAGGCCAACTCTGTAGTGAAGCACTGGTCCAACTGGGTACACTGGAGGGTTTAGGCTACCAGAAAATGAGTTGATTGCATATGGCTCTAGCTCAGAAAAAGTATTTACAATTATAACATTGGCATTCTTGAAGCTTTGAACAAACTTGAAATAAGTTTCATAACCACCATCCTTGTTAAATAAAGGTGAAGGCAAAACACATGCAGGAACTGGGTTGACAAAACCTGGCACTAGCAACTCAGTATTTGAAGAAACAAGCTCAGTACTGATCTGATCATGGCAAGTTAGTAGATGCAGCATGAGAGCCAAGAATCCAGCATTAGAAGTATATATAAGAAGGTAGACCCAGTTCACTAGCAACATCAATCATGGATACACAAAAGAAATCAATAACTAACCCAGTAACTCTGAGAGAGTCTGAATTCAAGCAAGATGATACAATGTTTCTGAGGTGGGGCACATTTCTTTGTACAAAGAGACTGAAGTTGTATTCTGGGGATCTCTTTGAACGTTCTGAACTTTCTGAAGGAGGGTCTATTTCAGGGAGGTCTAGAAGTTGGACTTTCAGATGGGAGGCTGTGACTGATTTGGTGTATCTATCAACAAAGGGAGCCTAAGGAAACTTCATGGACAAGACAGTGATCGAAATTCGATCAAATGGATCAATCAGACGCTTCACAAATTCAAGAGTTGGCAGCAAGTGACCAATTGCTATTTGCTGGTGATGGGATGAATATGAGCTCTGCATTCTTCATCTCAGCTTTCAAGTCTTTCTTTCTATAATCAGCATATGTTATGTAATGCTTCTTCTTCCTCAACCCAAAAAGTAGGAAAAAGAAAATATAGCCAAATATTCCTGGATCTTGCCTCTTGAATATCTGACCATTTCTCAGAATTTATAGATTTGCACATGCGGCATGTGGGTAAATAACATTGTCCCAAAAATTAAAAAGAGTAAACAAAGAGAGAAATACAAAACTAATGCCACCAATTTTTGATGATGTATAATACTGTAATTACTATAAACAGTTTTTCAATTACCCATATACTATATATATGTAACTGTTCTATGTACTATCATACATGATAGTACATGGAGAAAGACATGACTAAAAACGTTACCGTGCCGGTATTGCAGTGTGACCTTGAATTAATGTGATGAAACAACAACACCATAGTTTGTGAAAGACTGTACCGTGTTCGCGGATAATATTATCCAGAGCAACTAAAAACTGTGTAACTTAATCACTNTTGTTAAATAAAGGTGAAGGCAAAACACATGCAGGAAGTGGGTTGACAAAACCTGGCACTAACAACTCAGTATTTGAAGATACAAGCTCAGTACTGATCTGATCATGGCAAGTTAGTAGATGCAGCATGAGAGCCAAGAATCCAGCATTAGAAGTATATATAAGACGGTAGACCCAGTTCACTAGCAACATCAATCATGGATACACAAAAGAAATCAATAACAAACCGAGTAACTCTGACAGACTCTGAATTCAAGCAAGATGATACAATGTTTCTGAAGTGGGGCACATTTCTTTCTACAAAGAGACTGAAGTTGTATTCTGGGGATCTCTTTAAACGTTCTGAACTTTCTGAAGGAGGGTCTACTTCAGGGAGGTCTATCAGTTGGACTTTCAGATGGGAGGCTGTGACTGATTTGGTATATGGATCAACAAAGGGAGCCTAAGGAAACTTCATGGACAAGACAGTGATCAAAATTCGATCATACGGATCAATCAGATGCTTCACAAATTCAAGAGTTGGCAGCAAGTGACCAATTGCTATTTGCTGGTGATGGGATGAATATGAGCTCTGCATTCTTCATCTCAGCTTTCAAGTCTTTCTTTCTATAATCAGCATATGTTATGTAATGCTTCTTCTTCCTCAACCCAAAAAGTAGGAAAAAGTAAATATAGCCAAATATTCCTGGATCTTGCCTCTTGAATATCTGACCATTTCTCAGAATTTATAGATTTGCACATGTGGGTAAATAACATTGTCCCAAAAATTAAAAAGAGTAAACAAAGAGAGAAATACAAAACTAATGCCACCAATTTTTTATGATGTATAATAATACTGTAATTACTATAAACAGTTTTTCAATTACCCATATACTATATATATGTAACTGTTCTATGTACTATCATACATGATAGTACATGGAGCAAGACATGACTAACAACGTTACCGTGCCGGTATTGCAGTGTGACCTTGAATTAATGTGATGAAACAACAACACCATAGTTTGTGAAAGACTGTACCGTGTTCGCGGATAATATTATCCAGAGCAACTAAAAACTGTGTAACTTAATCACTAAGGAAAGAAATGGTAACGAAGAGTCTTTTTAAGAAGCGGTGATTGTGATAGAGTTGAAATACAACATATTAAATTCCCAGAAAAAGAAGCGCCAGTAATACGAACACAACAAGCAAACAAAAAAAAAAAAAAAATCAGTAAAGAAAACGATGTCGTTTAACAAAGCTAAGAATGAATCAGATCACCGTCTGCTATCGTAATCAACGACTTCGGATTCTGTAACCGACCGCGAGTGTTGAACAATCGCTCGACCAATCGAATTGATCCATTCCTCCTTCTCCTTCTCCGTATCGGCGATGAAGTACATCGTATATTCGCCGGTAGAGAGTTCGAAAGCGTACGGCTTGTTGACGATGTCCTCAGCGCCTTTAACAGTGAGGCAGGTGCCGACGGGGACGACGCCACGTGGCGTGGAGGCACGGGTGATGTTGGAAGAGTCTTTGAACCATAAGAGCTTGCCTTGTTTGAGAATGAACCAGCGGCGGCGCCAGGTTTTGATGTAGTCGCCTTGCTTCGTAAGCCAGCCGGATCGTTCGGGATTGGACCAGAACTCGATGCCGTTGTAATCGTCAGGATTGGGATCCTGGCCCGTCGCGGCCCGCCACAGATTTTCCATTAATCAGTTGAGCTGTATTGTGTTGTGTGCCTGAAGATTTTGAGTAGTGTAAGAGAGAGAAGAATTTTGTAGCGTTGGGAATATGAAATACAGAAATTGGTTGGGCTGTCACGGCACGTTGCTCTATCCGAAACGACGCCGTTTCGAAACACTCTGTTTTGATTTTTCTCTTTTATTTGTATTATTTTAATGAAGTTTTCTAAAAAGTACAACACTTAATTTGTATTTTTCAATTAAATATTGATGTTGATCTTAATTATTAGCGGAATGTTATTTAATTCTAATTTATCTCAAATTTTAATCTTAAATTATATAATTAATTACTTCTACCTATATACCATATTATTTGGTTAATCATTTTCCCAATTATAGGTTAAGATTATCTATTCTTATATTATTTGCATTATTATGTGAAGATTTTAGAGTTATATTCAAATACTTAAAAACATTATATCTTTTAAAAAAATAAAAATACAATACATATTTTTTTAGTAACCAAGGTGTCTAAAACCTTAACTAATCGTCTGGAGAGACTAACAAAGCAACCTACCACTATGATCTCTCACTTAAATCAAAAATGCTTAAATGGGAAATCGAATCTGAGACCGTACGCCTATCCACACAATCTCCGATTCGCCTTAACCATTTAGACTTCTCCCGGATAGACAAAAATAAAATACACAACTGGCTACAAGTCAGTATTTACTTAGATAAATAGCTGGTTACCAACTAATTTAGGCAATTAAAAAGAATAAAATTATATCCTTATCCTGAATCATAAAGGAATCTTGATCCAAATTAATAAGAAAAAGGAAAAAAAAAAATGTTAGTTTACAAGAAGATGAATATAGAAACATATACACTTATAAATTATCTGTCTCTTACTCTGTAACAATCATCAAGACCCTGCATTTGAATTTTCAGATATCTTGGCAAAGATTGTCAGCAAGGTGCTCAAAACCTTCATTTCAATGCAAATACAAGTCAATAGGCCTCTGTTGAAGCATCAAACATAATAATGGCCCAGAACCAGAAGCATCAATCTAGATGATAAAATAACTGCATTCTTTTGGTTATCTTGTTGATGTTTTTGCTTGGTTGAATTACATGGAAATTAAATATGTGTACATAGAGACTCCAGAAGTACATAGTGGAGACAGAAGAATAAATTTAAAGATCTTCTTCCTTTGTTATATTCCAGTTGAGAATTCTTTACATTATCAGATTTACAACTTGAAAGACATATTATGTTAAGCTGGAAAGGTTTATTTTTTGAGCTTCTTTGTTATTTCAGCAACATACTTACCCTGGTGAAAGGCCTGTTGGAGTTCTAGCTCTGTGGGTTCACGGGTTCCGTCTGCCGCATAAGTTCCAGCTCCATAAGAAGAACCACCCTTCACCTCATTCATCTCAAACATGCCACTCCCAAATGTGTAACCAAGTGGGACATACAACATACCATGATGTGCTAATTGTGTTACGGCAGTCAATCTGCAGAAAAAAGTAGAAGGGAAAACAATCACATACCACTCCTCCATATAGAAACTAACTTAAACAAGCAATCAATGATTCACGATCAAGGAGATAGTATATTTGTAGCAGCAATCCTTAAATATCTATTAACAATTAGAATATGGTCGAAAGAAAATACTTGACACAAACATTATAAAGAATGACAAAAATAAAAAAAACAGTCAACACTGAGGCCCCTCATCAAATTGTGGGGTAATTGAACACCAAAGAGAATATGTGCAGAGCAGTTAACTGAACCTTTAAAAGAATAATTAGGTAAGTTGATCAGAAATAATCCATATCCAACCACTATCAGTAAAATTGAACTATAAGTGAAACTCAATTGAAATAAAAAGGAAATGACAGTTTTTGAGAATTACATAAGTAGAACTGGATAATGGAGGGGAAACTCAATCGTTTCCCAAACTTTAATGCTTAAATCTCATTTTATGATTGGCAAAGAAGCTAAAGTGAGATGCATAAAACTGTGTCGCAAAACAAAAACTATTTGAGACACAAAAGGACTTAGCATCCACAAGATCCATACTAGTGTAAATTGATATGCTAAAAAAGAGGGTTTCAAGAGGAGAGACAGAAGAAAAAAGAACTCACGCAGTAAGTTCCTGGCCTCCCCCATGAAAACCAGTACTCCAGAAGATTCCGGCAGGCTTGCCAGCAAGTGCTTGGGATGCCCATAGGTCACCAGTAGCATCAAAGAAGGCCTTGAACTGGGCTGCCATTACACCAAAACGAGAAGGAAATCCAAAGATAAAACCATCAGCCTCCACAAGTTGCTCTGGCTTGATCTCTGGCACATCATTTGGTTTAGGAGAAGCTTTCATCTTTTGTAAAATCAGGCTGGAAAGTGTCTCAGGTACCTATTTGTTCCAATCAAGTTGAAGAAAACTTTACATTATCATAAGGGTCTCTTCTGCTTAAGCTACTATTTTCTTTTACAAATTACTAATTCTCCCCATTAATAAAACTACCTGCCAAAGTGTTGCTTCAACACCTTGAATAGTATTAGCTCCTCGCTGCACCTCTCGTGCCATAACCTCCACATGGCCATACAAGGAGTAAAAACTGTGAAAAGAAGAAAACCTAAGATAACAGGTGACTGAAAAGAAAAAAAAAATGAACCAAACTTAGCACCATTGTGAATGCTAGCACATGTGAGAGTGTGTATATGTGTGTTTGTGTGAGAGGCAGGAAGAGATTACACTATGTAGACTTTGGTGGTAGCCATATTTATAATCGCCGATAGGAGTCGAGCTTGATAAGACTAAATATACTTGTATACTGATTCAACTGCTGTCATATATTGAAAGCAAAACAAATAAACATATATCAACAATAGCCATAACATATGTCTCAAAGTACAAATTTATCAATTGATTTAAAGACTTGACCTTTCATGCAAACCTAAGGTCGTCCAAACCATGGAGTAAACTGTGGTTATGGTTATGAATTAAAAAAGGAAACAGAAAGGGGGCAAAAAGTTGATATTAGACACAAATATTATACAGTTGAGGATCTAGAGCTATGAAGAAAGAGTCAAAATCTTGATAATACAAAATTTTCTCACCTACTGCAAACCAACTCCCTTGTAAAGATATTCCTACTCGCACTAGACAGTAGGCACCTACTTTACCAACATACCCCAAAATTTAACCCAACTTAAAAAAGTCTACTTTCTGGCAGAAACTTAATCAAATATGTTGTATTGCTCACTGAAACCCAGTAATCAGAGCAAGAAACATAAATGGAGATTCAGCACTCCTTAAAAAGAACAAAATCCATGCGAAGAAGGAGATTAAATCGGTCAAGACTAATGGGGAAAAAAAAAATTAGCCACACCAAGTTTGCAGACCATCAGAAGCAGCAAGGTTTTGATTTTTATTCAAAAAACTAAACTATGAGAACAAGAAATGGATTGAAATGGAGAATCGTAATCAACGACTTCTGATTCTGTAACCGACCGCGAGTGTTGAACAATCGCTCGACCAATCGAATTGATCCATTCCTCCTTCTCCTTCTCCGTATCGGCGACGAAGTACATCGTATATTCGCCGGTAGAGAGTTCGAAAGCGTACGGCTTGTTGACGATGTCCTCAGCGCCTTTAACAGTGAGGCAGGTGCCGACGGGGACGACGCCACGTGGCGTGGAGGCACGGGTGATGTTGGAAGAGTCTTTGAACCATAAGAGCTTGCCTTGTTTGAGAATGAACCAGCGGCGGCGCCAGGTTTTGATGTAGTCGCCTTGCTTCGTAAGCCAGCCGGATCGTTCGGGATTGGACCAGAACTCGATGCCGTTGTAATCGTCAGGATTGGGATCCTGGCCCGTCGCGGCCCGCCACAGATTTTCCATTAATCAGTTGAGCTGTATTGTGTTGTGTGCCTGAAGATTTTGAGTAGTGTAAGAGAGAGAAGAATTTTGTAGCGTTGGGAATATGAAATACAGAAATTAGTTGGGCTGTCACGGCACGTTGCTCTATCCGAAACGACGCCGTTTCGAAACACTCTGTTTTGATTTTTCTCTTTTATTTGTATTATTTTAATGAAGTTTTCTAAAAAGTACAACACTTAATTTGTATTTTTCAATTAAATATTGATGTTGATCTTAATTATTAGCGGAATGTTATTTAATTCTAATTTATCTCAAATTTTAATCTTAAATTATATAATTAATTACTTCTACCTATTATACCATATTATTTGTTTATATCATTTTCCCAATTATAGGTTAATATTATCTATTCTTATATTATTTGAATTATTATGTGAAGATTTTAGAGTTATATTCAAATACTTAAAAACATTATATCTTTTAAAAAAATAAAAATACAATACATATTTTTTTAGTAACCAAGGTGTCTAAAACCTTAACTAATCGTCTGGAGAGACTAACAAAGCAACCTACCACTATGATCTCTCACTTAAATCAAAAATGCTTAAATGGGAAATCGAATCTGAGACCGTACGCCTATCCACACAATCTCCGATTCGCCTTAACCATTTAGACTTCTCCCGGATAGACAAAAATAAAATACACAACTGGCTACAAGTCAGTATTTACTTAGATAAATAGCTGGTTACCAACTAATTTAGGCAATTAAAAAGAATAAAATTATATCCTTATCCTGAATCATAAAGGAATCTTGATCCAAATTAATAAGAAAAAGGAAAAAAAAAAATGTTAGTTTACAAGAAGATGAATATAGAAACATATACACTTATAAATTATCTGTCTCTTACTCTGTAACAATCATCAAGACCCTGCATTTGAATTTTCAGATATCTTGGCAAAGATTGTCAGCAAGGTGCTCAAAACCTTCATTTCAATGCAAATACAAGTCAATAGGCCTCTGTTGAAGCATCAAACATAATAATGGCCCAGAACCAGAAGCATCAATCTAGATGATAAAATAACTGCATTCTTTTGGTTATCTTGTTGATGTTTTTGCTTGGTTGAATTACATGGAAATTAAATATGTGTACATAGAGACTCCAGAAGTACATAGTGGAGACAGAAGAATAAATTTAAAGATCTTCTTCCTTTGTTATATTCCAGTTGAGTATTCTTTACATTATCAGATTTACAACTTGAAAGACATATTTTGTTAAGCTGGAAAGGTTTATTTTTTGAGCTTCTTTGTTATTTCAGCAACATACTTACCCTGGTGAAAGGCCTGTTGGAGTTCTAGCTCTGTGGGTTCACGGGTTCCGTCTGCCGCATAAGTTCCAGCTCCATAAGAAGAACCACCCTTCACCTCATTCATCTCAAACATGCCACTCCCAAATGTGTAACCAAGTGGGACATACAACATACCATGATGTGCTAATTGTGTTACGGCAGTCAATCTGCAGAAAAAAGTAGAAGGGAAAACAATCACATACCACTCCTCCATATAGAAACTAACTTAAACAAGCAATCAATGATTCACGATCAAGGAGATAGTATATTTGTAGCAGCAATCCTTAAATATCTATTGACAATTAGAATATGGTCGAAAGAAAATACTTGACACAAACATTATAAAGAATGACAAAAATAAAAAAAACAGTCAACACTGAGGCCCCTCATCAAATTGTGGGGTAACTGAACACCAAAGACAATATGTGCAGAGCAGTTAACTGAACCTTTAAAAGAATAATTAGGTAAGTTGATCAGAAATAATCCATATCCAACCACTATCAGTAAAATTGAACTATAAGTGAAACTCAATTGAAATAAAAAGGAAATGACAGTTTTTGAGAATTACATAAGTAGAACTGGATAATGGAGGGGAAACTCAATCGTTTCCCAAATTTGAATGCTTAAATCTCATTTTATGATTGGCAAAGAAGCTAAAGTGAGATGCATAAAACTGAGTCGCAGAACAAAAATATTGAGACACAAAGGACTTACCATCCACAAGATCCATACTAGTGTAAATTGATATGCTAAAAAAGAGGGTTCAAGAGGAGAGACAGAAGAAAAAAGAACTCACGCAGTAAGTTCCTGGCCTCCCCATGAAAACCAGTACCTCCAGAAGATTCCGGCAGGCTTGCCAGCAAGTGCTTGGGATGCCCATAGTCACCAGTAGCATCAAAGAAGGCCTTGAACTGGGCTGCCATTACACCAAAACGGGAAGGAATCCAAAGATAAACCATCAGCCTCCACAAGTTGCTCTGGCTTGATCTCTGGCACATCATGGTTTAGGAGAGCTTTCATCTTTTGTAAAATCAGGCTGGAAAGTGTCTCAGGTACCTATTTGTTCCAATCAAGTTGAAGAAAACTTACATTATCATAAGGGTCTCTTCTGCAAGCTACTATTTCTTTTACAATTACAATTCTCCCCATTAAAAACTACCTGCCAAGGTTTGCTTCAACACTTGAATAGTATTAGCTCCTCGCTGCACCTCCGTGCCATAACTCCACATGGCATACAAGGAGGAAAAACTGTGAAAAGAAGAAAACCTAAGATAACAGGTGACTGAAAAGAAAAAAAAATGAACCAAACTTAGCACATTGTGAATGCTAGCACATGTGAGAGTGTGTATTGTGGTGTTGTGTGAGAGGCAGAAGAGATTACACTAGAGACTTTGGGGGTAGCCATTTATAATCGCCGATAGGAGTGCTTGATAAGACTAAATATACTTGTATACTGATTCAACTGCTGTCCTATATTGAAAGCAAAACAAATAAACATATATCAACAATAGCCATAACATATTCAAAGTACAAATTTATCAATTGATTTAAAGACTTGACCTCATGCAAACCTAAGGTCGTCCAAACATGGAGTAAACTGTGGTTATGGTTATGAATTAAAAAAGAAACAGAAAGGGGGCAAAAAGTTGATATTAGACAAATATTATACAGTTGAGGATCTAGAGCTATGAAGAAAGAGTCAAAATCGAGATACAAAATTTCACCTACTGCAAACAAACTCCCTGTAAAGATATTCCTACTCGCACTAGACAGTAGGACCCACTTTACAACATACCCACCCAAATTTAACCCAACTTAAAAAAGTCTACTTTCTGGCAGAAACTTAATCAAATAAGTTGTATGTTCACTGAAACCAGTAATCAGAGCAAGAAACATAAATGGAGATTCAGCACCCTTAAAAAAAAAAAAAAAAATCCATGCGAAGAAGAGATTAAATCGTCAAGACTAATGGGGAAAAAAAAAAATTAGCCACACCAAGTTTGCAGACCATCAGAAGCAGCAAGGTTTTGATTTTTATTCAAAACTAAACATGAGAACAAGAAATGGATGAATGGAAAGCCTAAATATCCCTCCCGACCAATTCACATCTCTCCCAAAAAGAATAGATAACGCACTAAATGAGAAAGCCCATGTGATTAAGCTCAATGTTACATCATCATTTTTCTTTCCATATTTCCTTTCTGTATTTCTCTGAACTACAAAACATAGAAAAAGAAAAATACTTTCAACTCCCTTCTCTTCGCACCAATTTCTATTCACTTCCCACACAATTAACGATTGTCGAACACTATAAAAAATTTAAATTTATTATTTAAAGCCCCAGAAATACTGGGCTGTTATGTTATACTCGCAAATACATCACAGAATAGCAGGACAGTCAAAGAAGATGACCCACATAATCAATACATTCCAAACAACAGAAAAAGCATTACCGATTAAAAATGAAGTGAAGAAAAGAGAAGAGCGGGTTCAGAAATAGGACCTTGTAACGAAAATGCGGTTAAACGGATAAACCATACGGAGGAAGCAAACAATAAATAGGTGATGTTTATGTCCTCACTGAAAGAGTAACGTGTCAGATAAACAAGTTGTTGACGTGCAAAAGCTTATCCAATGAGCCTGTTGGGTGTTTTAGTTAGGAGTCGCCATCTAAAAAGCCGTATCCGTATGGATCAGCTTTTATTATTTAATTATTGATATAATCATGTGTACTTGGCAATTTTTTTGTTTTGTTGGTAACCAACTTAGCAGTTTCTTTTTTATATATATATATATATGAGAATTGTATATTCAGAACATGAAAAAGGGATATTGGCAGTGTTCTGAAAGCCAAACCGGGGTGTCATGTGGCCAAGGTTTCGGGTCCTGGGTTCACCAGTCGGATTGGTTAAACCGACAGTTTTCAATGAGAGAACCATTTATGACAATTTCATCTCGTACAGCTCAAACAAAAACACCCAAATACTGGGAAAAAAGAAAGAGGGCTGGAGTTTACACATTGATTTTTTTCGCATGTTGAACTGTATGCATCAAAATGTGCCTGTACAGCTCTTAAAGGATACAATTTGATCGAACAAGTTTGAAATCTAACAAACATACCTCTTATAAATTCGTATCAGTTCCTATAAGTTTAAAATCTAACAAAAACATCCTTATAATATGACCGCACAATTAGGATTTCACTTTTCTATGCCAAATTCTAACTGATTCCGACGGCCAAAATTCTATCCAACACCACTAGCCTTCGCTTTACAAAATTCATCTAACCCCGACACTTCGTAACCCTCCATTCGCTGATCATGATTCAATCCGACCAGTTAAACCTACCGGGCGAGGTTTCAGAAAAGTGGATATTGGGCCCTTGCTTTACTTTTCAGTTTAATAAGTTTAAGAACTTGTAATTTAAGAACTATCATTAATTGAATGATGAGGAAAAGTTCTTAAAAGGAATTACAACAAAAATGTTTAGCTATCTTTATGTTCAACACAGAAGCTTAGCAATTAGCATGAATGCTTATACTCAGCTTAACCGCATTACATACATGAAACTTTAGCAGAGTACTCTCCATATTCTGCAAATTATTCAACAAAATTAACATAAATTCACCCACTAGCACGTAAGTCTCTTGACATTTGGATTTTCGTTTCTCCTCCGAAGAAAACAGCTCCTGTCCCAAAATACCATTTAAGCCCAGTGCTAATTCCCATTTGCTTCTGATTCGCCGATCGGCATCTCCTTTCCCCTTGGAGAAATACTCACAGCAACTGCAAGCAAATGCGACTTACTCAGAACTTGCATTCGAACGGGAACTTTTGATAAAGTCGAAAGACTCCAATCTTTAATCATTTGTTGACAAATGAGGATTCTGCAAGATCGATAGCACGGGCAAGGCCAGCAGCTTTATTCTCGCACTCCCTCTGCTCATCAGTAGGATCACTGTCAGCCACAATTCCAGCCCCAGCTTGGAGGTGAGCAACCCATTCGCGGCGTTTGTTCACATCCTTGTATGAATACATTGTGTCATAGCGTGTGCCAGTTGGGAAAACCATAGTTCTAAGAGCAAGGGCAATGTCCATATCACCAGTAAACGAAATGCCTCCAAATCCGCCACTATATGGCCCACGACGTGTGACTTCCAGCTCATCAATTAACTCCATGGCTTTTACCTGTGTTAGCCCAACATAAGGTTAGGGATTTGATCATCCTTGGGATATCCAACAACAATCAACAAACAGAGAATTAGTAATCCAAAGAATTAAGAACCAACCAATCAGGAACATGTAATCCTGTAAGTAGAAGAGAACATGAAAAAATAAAATAAAATAAACCTTTGGTGCTCCACTAACAGTCCCAACAGGTAGCGCAGCACGCAAAGCATCCCAGCTGCATAAATGATCAAGTAACTCTCCCGTCACCTGCAAAGACAAATAGTTTTCACTAAATGAGAAAGAGATTCACAGTGGGTTTCCGTTATATTCTAAATCTAACTAATATGGATATTGCTTTGAAGTTTGCACATTCTGTTCTCAAAGCTTATAAAAGTAATCAGAAGAAACTATTGGTCAAAAGAAGAAGAATGCCATCCATATCATGTCAAACATTTATATGCAACAATCGTAGATTCCAAATCTGTGTCTATTGAAGTAAATTATTCATTCAAATGGCCAATAATGATGCGATGTAAAAGATAGGACATTCACAAATTGCAATAAGGAATACTTACTGTTGAGCTTATGTGCATAACATGAGAATACCGCTCAATATTCATAAGCCTTTCAACCTTCACAGAACCAGGTTTCGAGACCTGCATTTGCAGAATGTCTCAAATAAAAATCGACGGCCATAGAGATAAGTTCTAAGACAATAATACACATAAAATTGATATCCTTAAACAGAATTAAAAAAAAAAAGAAATTTGCTGCTTATTCCCCACAATTAAACTAGCGTGGATAGATAAAATTAAATATAAACCTTTCCAACATCATTCCTCCCCAAGTCAACTAGCATAATGTGTTCTGCACATTGCTTTTCATCATTCAAAAGCTCCTTCTCAAACATTAGATCTTCTTTAGGTGTCTTCCCTCTTCTAATAGTTCCAGCAAGGGGTCGATTTGTAATCTTATTCTGTAAACAAGAATAAAAAATAAGACTGCAGTCGACAAAAAAAATTAAAAGTTTCCAGATCAGTTTGCAGAAGAACAGAGGATACGCTATAAATTCTTAAGCATGTCATTACACCTTCGTACAATCAAAACTTCAAGGGGAAAGGGGAAACAGATGTCAATGACTTATTAAATAATTACTTTGTTTTATACTTACCTTTTTTACACGTGTAAGAATTTCTGGACTTGAAGCAACCAGTATACACCCTCTAGCCTGAACAGAGATAAATACAGAAAGAAAAAGCTCGTGAATTAAACATTAACATTTCAAACAAATAGTTCAGAGAAAGCAGACTAACTTGTAAATATGTCATATATGGACTTGGATTGACAATCCTCAGTGCCCTATAGATTTCAAATGGGTCAGCAAAAGTTCTTCTTTCAAAACGCTGACTTAATACAATCTGGAAAATATCACCAGCCATGATATGCTCCTTAGCCTTCAATACTGCTTCCTTGTATTCTTCACTTGTCATGCTTGATGCCTTCAATTTAGGGCCAAAAAGGTGAGTGTATAACTTTATTGAACCAGTTGGAAGCCTTGGTCTGAAATTCAATTTTAAATAAGATATTCACAAATCAAACTTAACAGGAAAAATCAATAGAGTAAATGGTCTGAACAATCAGCTTATAAATAATAACTCACGGATCTATATCATGAACTCTAGATAGTAAGTTTTCCAACCGGTTCATTCCATCATTAAAGGCCTCCTCAACAGAAGAATATCGATCTAATCGCACCCAATGAATCACGTATGCTTTCTAAGGCCAAGAAAATTACAGAATCAAGGCACAAGTGTTACTCAAAAGCAATAAACCAATCCACAGCAGTTAAGAGTTACATTCAAAAACTAAATGCAACCAACTACTCCAATAGTTGCGTATAATACATTATATATCTCACTGTCTGTTAGGATCCCACATTGAAAGGGAAAAAGGTAAGGCATGTGGGTTATCAAGGCTTGGGCACCCTCCCTTGGCAAGCCAGTTTTCCAAAGAGAGTTCTACCCAAGACCATGAAAGACCCATGGCCCAGCCCAAATTGTTGAGTTATTGGTGTGGGTTCCTATCACTGTCCATCGGCTTTTACAGGTAATTGTCCAGAATGTAAAAGAAGCTTCAAAATGAGATTTTTTCCATTCATTTACGTCAAGGAAATACCAAGAAGCAAGAAGGACACATGAGAATGAGATGTACATACCTGAAATGAATGTGACAGGTTAAAAATAAAAAACCAAGAAATAACTTATTTGCTTCATAACAATTAAACAATCTATGGTCAGAGTAAAAGTACCTTCTCCACATGATCAAACACAATCACATCATCATAAAGGCCAAGATGAACATCAGGAAGGTTTCTGTCATCTGGTGGGGCACTAGAGAAGGGCAGCTTTTTCTTCTCCACATAGCGGACAGTATCATATGAAAAGTAACCAACCCATCCACCTGGCCAAGACAATGTATCACTGTTCAACTTATACATAATAATTACCTCTTAAAAAAGCTCCATATTTCAGGACTGAATTAGGCAATAAGACTTAAATATCACTTTTGCAGTAAGTGCAATAAATAATTTTTTGCAGTTACGTCGAGATGACTAAACACAGTTTAATATTAATCACCAGAGAGAAAATCTACATAGTTACATTGATGAATACAATGTCTAATAAAAAAAAAACATTCTACCTAGTTGGTTCAGAGCTAAGAAACTCAATGTAAAGGAAACATATAAAAGGGTTTCAGAGGCTAAAAAATTAACCTCTATTTTATCATCATTTCTAAGGATCTAACCAGAAAAAAATAAAATAAATAAATAAAATAGAGCTCTGCCTCACATGTAACTTGGTGAATTATGATAACACCAGTGTATGGTCATGAAAAAACCAAGCAGATTATCAATCTAATTCTCTTACCACAAAATGCTTCTGGAAGTTCATCAATAAGTTGGGGTTTCCATCCCTCCATGATTCTCCTCGGAACCACCATTGGATCCTCCACAATCTCCTCTGTCATCTTGCCTTCCTCATGGTCCATGACTGTAACCATATTCTCTTTTGCCACAATTTCAATTGTTGGCTGAGCTCCAACAACGCTATACCTCCCCTAACACGATCAAAACAAACCAAATATATTTAATCCACACTGCATAATGATAAATACAAAGAAGAAACCAACTAAAAGGCTTACAATACTGGAAACCAGCAAACCAGGCTCGACTGACTCAAACAGAAAGCTTGGAGCATCTCTATCATCTTCTTTAACCAAACACCGGTATGCTAGCACAGGAGTTAGATGGTCCGAGAATATGCATCGGTACAAAGGAATCAAATTCCCCCTCCTGGAAGCTTCTTGAAATTTAGAAAACTGCTCTACTAGATTATCCCAGTAGGAATAAACAAATCCAACAAATTGATTAGTAAAGACAAGGGTGCTAGCAGGGAAGGACTCATATATTGATGCATTGCCTTTTAATAGCAGGGACCAAATTTACCATTTTATTATCATTAAATCAACATCAAATTAATAGAAACAAAAGTTCCTCATGTTTCCTTTGCCTCTAATTCTTGGCAAGTAGAAAACAGAGGAGAAAGATCAAAAGTATCAATTTATATCTTTATTCTTCCTAATTTTTTCCTGAGTCAAACTTCTCGTTTTTCATAAATCACATAAATATAATTGTAGTACTGGCAGATCCAGGATTTTTGTCCAGGGGTGCCTCCGCAGCTCCGTCATTATTTGTCAAATAACTAGTGAAAACTTTAAAAAATACCAAACCTTAATAAAAAAATAATACAATATTAAGAACCTAAGAAAAAAGAATATATAATAACACAATATTTTCTTATTTGAATAAATCTATGAGAAGCAAAATTTTGAGTAAAAGTATTGAGTAAACCTTGAACAAAATCTTCTTTTAATATTTTTATTTTTGGCTTTCAAATATTATAATATAAATTTTCATAACGTTGATCAAACCTAGCTTAATTAAGCTAAAGTCAACCAAAACTTAAATAAAGTCAACATTACGTTGACTTTTAATATGAATTAATAAAAGATGGGAAATTTTTTTAGTATAAACATAGATAGTAACTCAAATTTCTTTAATAATTTTGAACAACTGAACGGTGACGTTTAAAATGTAGGAAAATGGTGAGTGAAGGGTGAAGAATAACGTCTTTTAAAATATAGTTAAGGTTTTAATTTGAAAAAGCAGATTAATTCTTAAAAAGAAAATACAAAATAAACTCACAAGATTAATATTTTTTTCTCTCAAATTAGAATAAAAAAACTCAAAAAGAAAAAAATTGATTCAATCCTTAAATAAACTAAATTGAAATGAACAATATACATACCTAAAATCGATAAAACAGAAAACGGAGCTAATTATGATACCTTGAGTAGTGAAAATTTAACAATTTCAATCTTCAAATTTTTTAAGAGCAAATAACATGAGAGAGAAAGAGAGAGTAAAGAATTTGGGGATAAAATCATAAAAAACAGGTAAAGCTGTGTAGAAAGACACTAGAGAGGGTTTTAAACTTTTAATATAATGTGGCTTGGAATATATATATATATATATATATATATAAAACAAGTTTTTTTGTAGGCCTAGATATATAGGATGTATAGTTGTTCTTATTTTTTTAAAATTTAAAGGTGGAACTGGGTATATATGTTAATTAACAATTTTTTATGGCCTGTATATTAAAAAAAAAATTTTTAATCTGAGGTAGGGCCTACCCTCAAAGGGGCTGAATCCGCCCCTCCAAACCTCAATTTACGTTCTCTCCTTCAAATTCTCGTCAACCAAAGTGAAAAATTCTCGGTTCATTTTCTCATTTTCTATTGATACTAATCAGCACCATCAATACTCCAGAATTCCATTACTTTCCTTTTTCCTCCAATTTTCGCCAACTAAACAGAATCAAACACACTCAAACGTCGATTTTAATATTTTCTCATCTAAGTAAATTTACTCAGCAGCCAGACAACCTCAAACCAAGGCAACTCAAAGTGCGCATTAATTACTTTTAAATTTAAAATGCGAGATAATACCTAAGAAGGAGAGGCTGTGCATTTGAGAGTACGGAAACGATAGCCGGAGCTGCGCAGACAGAGAGACCTTGAACTCTCACTAAGCTCCACCTTGAGTGTGAGATTCTGGTTTTAAAGTTGATGGAGGGCGTTGCAGAGAAACGAAGAGTTGAGGGAAAGTGAGGACGCGTAACGGCTAGGGTTTCCATGTTCATAGCATTTGTTAGTTTGTTTTTTACTGGAGGAAAAATTGGAGACATAGAACTCTTCCAGCAGGTGTTCGCAGTTCGTCAAAAGTGGAATTTGTTAAGTATTTGCGGCTCCGAACAAAAATTTAATCGGTTCATGGACTTGGTTATATGGCCTAATTAAAAGTCTTTTTGATTGGGCTTGGGCTCTTATTTGTAAAGTATTATAGCAATATGTTTGTACGGAAAATAAAAATTTTTTTTTATTTTTCATAAAAATAAAGTTCAAAATATTTAAAAAAAAAACACTTGGAATAATGTTTTCGTTTACAATAATCTTATAAATTGATATAGCCCTGATTTGGTCATCTAGCTGTATGGGTTACTGGCAAAGAGCATCCATATTAATATTTGAAAAAGGATAATCTAGATGGACCCCTAACATACATACATGGATTGATCACATTTTTCAATGCATTGAAGTTGGTAAGAAAACATGAGGGTGGTAGCTTTTCATCAATGGTACGTGTTTGAACAAGGTTATCGAATTCAGGAGGTACATCTGGAACTTTGAAAACACTTTTGTTTATTTCTCTCACTCTTCATTTCCATATTTTCTCTACACTTCCATACTTTCTCTACACATCTTTACTATACTTCTTCTATGTTTCTTTCATATTTCTAAGTTTTCTTCAACCTCAAGGTGGTATAATACTCTGAAAATGTTATAGATAGCAAAGATTTCATATATGTTTTAATTTATGTTCTTTAACATGTTTAATATTTATGTTAGGTTTTGTTTTACCTATTAAAAATTTGTCACATATCATCAATTTGATAAATTGTTATTATAATATATAGTTAAACTCCGTCTTCCCTTAAACTATTTGTTGACAGTGAATTCTACGCAAACCTTTTTTCTTTTGAACAGGGTATCCACTGTCATAATCACCAACTTAAATGATCTCTGTTTTAAAACCGGACTAGACCGGCCGGTTCGACCGGGACCCGACAGCTTCTCCAGTCCGGTTCAGGTCTTAGAGGGAGTTTTGTAATATTTCAAAATTATAAAGGTTAATTTGTAATTTTATAGGGTATTTTGGAGATATGTCAAAAGTTAGAGATTAATTAGTAATTTTTTTGGGCATTTGTGAAATAAATAAAAAAATTAGGGACTAATTTGAACTTTTTAGGAGAATTTTATAATATTAAAAATTTAGAGATTAATATATAATTTTTTAAAATAAAATTGTCATTGACATCATTGGTCCAACCGATTGGACCGGTTGACCCGAGCAACAAAACAGGTTACTCTCCAATCCAGGTTTTAAAACAATGCTTAAATCTTGAAAACAAAAGAGATTCGAACCTAAGAATTCTACCCGAGATAACCATAAATAAAATTTTAGAGACTAATTTAAACTTTTTTAGGGGAATTTTTATAATATATTAAAATTTAAGGGATTAATATGTAATTTTTTAAATAACAAATATTCGACATCATCGGTCCAATCGGTTTGAACCGATGGCCCAGACAACAAAACAAGTTACTCTCCAATCCGGGTTTAACAATGCTTAAATCTTGAAAACAAATAGATTCGAACCTAAGAATTCTACCGAGATAACCAAGAGCATACAAAAAATTGAAATGGCTCTTTATTAGTTACAGAAAAAATTGAAAAATTGAATTACTCTTTATTAGTTACAACTTACAACAAGAAAAAAAATTGTAATCCAAAAAGGAATAGAGTTACAGGTAATGTATAAAATATAAAGCTGTATCGAATTTTTATCTATTCTTGTAAAAAAATGCTAATCTTACTCACTCCCTTTAGTTACTTCTCTTACTCACAGTTGTAAAATAACATATGGTACCCATACTATGCATATGGTACTCGTATTGTAGTAAAGCTAACATTACTCAATCTTGTATCGGCATTTCTGCAATAGCAATACGAGTGCTTGTCCCTGGAATCAGCACCGTATTTGCTAGGCTCTCCAACAGCTCTTTTCACCATCACTTCACATGACTATAATCGTCTGAAACAAGTATCCGTGCCGCAAACGGCGGAGTCACTCATCTGTTTGATAACCAGAACAATCCAAGACGCTATTAGAAGTATCAATCATTGATTGAATATAAGAGCACAGAAATAGAAATGGCTTCCAACCTTTTTATTTGGCACAAGCGAAGAGAGAGCAAGGGATTATCCACTAGTTCAACTTAAGAGCAAAATTATTGAAGACAATTCCGAAGAAACGAACTCCCTGTTACAGGAAACAATACGAGTAATCATAAAAGGGTGCTCAAATAAACAAAGCTAGGAAGAAGAAACAGAACTGAAATTGAAATAAATAAATAAAAGGAACACATAAACGCAGAAAACTTAGAAGGTTTGATCATACCTGCAATGCAAAAGTGATATCAGACTCATCTATTTTTAATGTTACTCTTTTCAATTTATCTTCACGAGACTGGCCTAATTTGAGAAGCCCCTGCCAACATCATTTCCATTATATATTATCAATGGATATTACCCGAAATCCCATTCTGAAATGGAAGTCATTGTGCTCTATGCAAATTACTGTACATAATCTTTTTAGTTACCTGGTCATTTAGCACTCTGCACATACTCGAAATTCCAGAATTCCAACTGGTGGAATGAGGGACGTTTTGCAGATTTCCATATATGATTTATTTAGCTGCATCCAAGAAACAAAGCTCAGATATTGAAAATATACTGCCAGTTCCCCTCGTCAATTTACTGGTGAGCAATAGAAGGAAACTCACCTCCCCAACAGTTGTATCTTTCTTTCCTCCGCGGAAGAACTTCACCGCAGAGCAAAGTATAATCTGTCATTAAAGTGTCATCATGAGAAATTGAAGCTAAGAAGAATGATGAGATACAAATGGTCATGTGCTATTTGTGCAATGCTTTGCATATAAACTAATGTGTTTAGTCCAAACTTACTTGTTGATGTTGAGGGAGAGACTGTATGGTGTCGACTACTGGAGATTTAAATGTATTTGCACAAGCAACAGCCATATGATCAACCCTCACCTGCAGAGCATGGTTTAGAAGTTATTAGGCAACAGTGCAAATTTTGTTATTGTTAGAGAACAATGTCTCCATAACAAATATAACTAAGAATAGATAAATATGAGGCGAATAGCAAGAAAATATAATTTGCCTGCAAATTGAAGAATTCAAGAGCTGGAGCTGCCTGTTGATCAAAGGACCCTTTCTCGACTGATGTCGAGTTTATTTTGCTTGCAGACTCTCTCAGTTCCGTATCTAGCACCTCAATTGCACTCCTGAAACAAATTCAAGAACATAAATGTTGAAGATTTTATTGAGGTCAAAGGCTCAAAGCAAGGAGCCTACACTGTTCATATCTGACTTCATATAATTAAAGAAGAGGTGCAATAAACACTGACCTGCAAACACTCAGAGCTTTCCGCATGTCTCCAGATGCAGCAGCAACTTTCTGTCGAATTTAATAGTCAGTATCAATTAATAATAGCACAACAGAAGAAAGAAAGTCTGGTTTACTGCAGCACACTAAAGTATTATGCATGGTGACTCACTCTGGCACAGAGTTCCAATGCTTGTGGCTGAAAGACAATATAAGGAAGTGCCTGTTGGAAGAATATAACATTTGTGAGAAAAAGACGAGGAATGTAGGAAATACTTTGCTCCAATATGATTTCAAGTTTAGCATTTCAGAGGATGCCAGTATCTCTGTTTATTTTTATGCACACATTATCATTTATAAATATAACAGAAAGCAAACTATCTGTTTGTTGGAAACAAAGGAATTACCATGAGCCTCTCCTGAAGTATTCTGATGATTTGATCTTTAGAGAAGCTCGAAATGTCACAACAAGAGGTTTACCTAACACAAGAAATGTAGAACCAGACATTCAGTACTATTAGGAAATTTTTTCAACCCCAGAGAGCACGTATGCTACTGATTCCACTTCAACAAAATGCAGCTGTCAGTATGAAAAAAAAATGAGTTTCCATTATTTGCACTACAATTTAAATTGATGACGACGCCAAACAGGGAGATATCATGATGGATGAAGTAAATGGAAAATTTGCCTTATGAAATTTAGCCGTTTGAGAAGCGAGGATAAGCATTATGAAGAAAATCTAGGTAAAATATCTCGCCAAAGCATAATCCAAGCAAAAGTAATGTTTATTTACATAAAACATTATGATATAAAGTAATGACTCACAATTCAGTGACTGAAGTCTTGGAAGAAATCTATCTGCAAGATCTATGGCATTTGCTATTCCTGTAAAAGCGAAGATATTGTAAGAAAAGTGGCATGCAGTTTTAAGAATAGAGAAAACAGAAGGGAGCGAGACATGTCAATAAGATAGTTGCCACAAATAGTACCTATTATTATGAATCTAGAGAACGAAAAAGTTGTAAGCATGAAAAGATCATGAAGGACCGCTCGGTCTCTGGTAATCAAATAATCCAACTCATCAGCAACAATTAGCCTGCAAAAGCGAGATTTGGTCAAAAGAACAACCTTATGGTGGCATGCATTTTTATATTTTGATAAATGCCATAAATTTTGCTGAAACAACCAACAAATTATTCATCGAATTCCGAAATAAATTGATTGTAATCGTGAATTTTACGGCTAAATATTAGCATTGTGCACACGCTCTGTAAGCTACACATATTCTATCACTGATGTCGCGCTGAATTTACAAGAAAAAGATACACTTGGTTGAGGAAAACTATCTTACATCATTTTTGAGCCAGATGACTGCTGCTTTTGAGAATACAAGTTCTGAAGATGTTGTAAAGGTGACGTGGAGCCACTGATTTTCTTCCTTCCTTGGATTTTAAAAATAATCTGTCAACACAATTAGCATATTAGCACCTGATGTCTCTCAGTCTTATACAAAAATTGGATTACCCTTCCGTTCTCTGTACCTTGCTGAAAATTTCAGATGTGTTTGTAAGTGAAGTACAATTAATGGCTAATACATCTGGCACCTGAAAACCCTCCTGGCAGAGAAATCAAGAGATCAGCGAACAGTAACATTCGAAAAGTAAGTGATAAATTAAACACTACACAGCAAATGATTCTGAAAGCACCCATCATAAAGCAGCAAAAAGAGCCATAAAACAAGCAATATATCAGCTGTGATCATATACCTCTTTAGCCCAGTCAAGCAAATGCTGTTTAATTTTCTCCATGGACAATGATTTCCCTGTCCCGGGACAACCACACACATACAAACTCCCAGCCTTCTCTTGTTCCACATGCTTCTTACAGAACTCCAAAACCCTTTTCTGCTCCTCCTCACGACAGACAACCGTCGATGGCGCTGTTGACACGTGTAGAGCCTCCTTTACTGCACTCATTTGCTCCACATCTGAAAAGAAAGAACAAAAAAAAAACAAAACCCCAATTAACACCTAAACATAAAATTAAAACAAAAACATAAAAAGTATTCATATAATTTATAAAACTTGCCTTGAGGATTCCAATTTGGTTTGGCTTTACGACTCTCAAATAATCTCTTCTTAACCGGTGATTTGCGCGTCACGAGTTTTTCATCTGAACTTTTTTAAATTCCCTGCATTAATTGTTTTAAGTTGCAAAGCGAAATTAAATTAAAGAAAAAACAAACAGCATGATATAATTAGCTAATTCTGTGCATCTATTTAATTGACTAACTTTGACATAGGATAAAATTACTAAATGATAAAACTCACATTAATAGGAGTGTTTGGACTAGAATTGAGGCTACGGCGAGGAGATTTCCATTTCATCGGCGTTGAAGTTGGGCTCTTGTTCTGCTCCGCTGCCGCATCAGATCTCAGTCTCCGCTTCTGAGGAGTTGAATCACCGTTGGATCTGGCGATCTCACCAGACTTCTCCGATTTGATGGCCAAGATGGAATCGTGACTGGCAATTGCAGGCATTGTTGGGAATTGATTCTCTTTATTTTGGGGGTGAAATGGTGGGAAATGTGTTTGGATTCTGAGAAAATCTTATGTATATATAAGGGTTTAAACAAAAAGGAAAATGTCGACAAATGGCTTGTTTTCGCGGGAAAATGTAAACGCAACAAATTCAGTCCCGCGCTCTCGTTTAAGTATTTTTGAAGCAAGGTATTTACAGTAATGGGCCGGAGATTTGACTGGGCCGTATATAGGCTAGACAGAATTTGGGTTAGGCCCATAAGCATTTCTCTTTCATTATCCTATTAAAGCATATGTAAGTACTTTGACATGCTCCTTAATTTTTGTAAAATTTCAAAATAAATAATATAATATTACGAGAGCACAAGATAATAACATATTATGTTAAAGATGGAAAATAATACAGTCATCGAAGGTAGTGTATCAAATTTATGCACCAAAAAACGTGACAAAATCCTGACCGTTGATTTTGTCACATCATTCGGTGCATTACTTCGGTGACTATAGCATTACTCGTTAAAGATAGTGTAAATAGATATATGGTCTCAGGTTCGATTCCTCATCTGCGCATATGAGATTTGAGTTGGAGGGCATGGTAGTGGATTGTTGCTCTAGTCTACCCTAAAGATTGGTTACGATTTAAGTGAAGAGTTGTGGAGGTGGATTGATGTGTTAGGCTCTCTTGATGATTAGTCAAGGTGTACGTAAATTAGCCTAAACACTTTGGTTAAAAAAATAAAAAAAAAATCAATTTTTCATTTAACTTTAGAACTTCCCCCCCGGGGGTAGTCGAAATACGTGCAAGCTAGTATGAACACCTCCGATAAAAAATAAAAAATAAAAGGGTAGATAAAGTAGAAAGAATATGTGGATGGCATAAAGTGATTGAATTATAATATGAAAAACGTGATACTTGGTAGTATTATAGATTTTTTTGAAAATATATCGATAAAACTATTAATACAAAATTGAAATATCAATTTTAAATCTCTAATGGTGTAGCAATTGGCTAGACAATATCACATTAATTAAAATATATATGGGAAATAATGTTATTTAATTTATAATCAATTTGATACTAACACACATAAATTAAAACCGAACTCAACTTAGAGAACAATGTCTCCATAACAAATATAAACTAAGAATAGATAAATATGAGGCGAATAGCAAGAAAATATAATTTGCCTGCAAATTGAAGAATTCAAGAGCTGGAGCTGCCTGTTGATCAAAGGACCCTTTCTCGACTGATGTCGAGTTTATTTTGCTTGCAGACTCTCTCAGTTCCGTATCTAGCACCTCAATTGCACTCCTGAAACAAATTCAAGAACATAAATGTTGAAGATTTTATTGAGGTCAAAGGCTCAAAGCAAGGAGCCTACACTGTTCATATCTGACTTCATATAATTAAAGAAGAGGTGCAATAAACACTGACCTGCAAACACTCAGAGCTTTCCGCATGTCTCCAGATGCAGCAGCAACTTTCTGTCGAATTTAATAGTCAGTATCAATTAATAATAGCACAACAGAAGAAAGAAAGTCTGGTTTACTGCAGCACACTAAAGTATTATGCATGGTGACTCACTCTGGCACAGAGTTCCAATGCTTGTGGCTGAAAGACAATATAAGGAAGTGCCTGTTGGAAGAATATAACATTTGTGAGAAAAAGACGAGGAATGTAGGAAATACTTTGCTCCAATATGATTTCAAGTTTAGCATTTCAGAGGATGCCAGTATCTCTGTTTATTTTTATGCAACACATTATCATTTATAAATATAACAGAAAGCAAACTATCTGTTTGTTGGAAACAAAGGAATTACCATGAGCCTCTCCTGAAGTATTCTGATGATTTGATCTTTAGAGTAAGCTCGAAATGTCACAACAAGAGGTTTACCTAACACAAGAAATGTAGAACCAGACATTCAGTACTATTAGGAAATTTTTTCAACCCCAGAAGCACGTATGCTACTGATTCCACTTCAACAAAATGCAGCTGTCAGTATGAAAAAAAAATGAGTTCCATTATTTGCACTACAATTTAAAATTGATGACGACGCCAAACAGGGGATATCATGATGGATGAAGTAAATGGAAAATTTGCTTATGAAATTTAGCCGTTTGAGAAGCGAGGATAAGCATTATGAAGAAAATCTAGGTAAAATATCTCGGCCAAAGCATAATCCAAGCAAAAGTAAATGTTTATTTACATAAAACATTATGATATAAAGTAATGACTCACAATTCAGTGACTGAAGTCTTGGAAGAAATCTATCTGCAAGATCTATGGCATTTGCTATTCCTGTAAAAGCGAAGATATTGTAAGCAAAAGTGGCATGCAGTTTTAAGAATAGAGAAAACAGAAGGGAGCGAAACATGTCAATGAGATAGTTGCCACAAACAGTACCTATTAGTAGAATCTAGAGAACGAAAAGTTGTAAGCATGAAAAGATCATGAAGGACCGCTCGGTCTCTGGTAATAATAATCCAACTCATCGCAACAATTAGCCTGCAAAAGCGAGATTTGGTCAAAAGAACAATCCTTATGGTGGCATGCATTTTTATAGTTTCTTTCATATTTCTAAGTTTTCTTCAACCTCAAGGGTGATATAATACTCTGAAAATGTTATAGATAGCAAAAGATTTCATATATGTTTTAATTTATGTTCTTTAACATGTTTAATATTTATGTTAGGTTTTGTTTTACCTATTAAAAATTTGTCACATATCATCAATTTGATAAATTGTTATAATATATATAGTTAAACTCGTCTTTCCTTAAACTATTTGTTGACAATGAATTCTACGCCTTTTTTCTTTTGAAACAGGGTATCCACTGTCATAATCACCAACTTAAATGATCTCTGTTTTAAAAACCGGACTAGACCGGCCGGTTCGACCGGGACCCGACAGCTTCTCCAGTCCGGTTCAGGTCTTAGAGGGAGTTTTGTAATATTTCAAAATTATAAAGGTTAATTTGTAATTTTATAGGGGTATTTTGGAGATATGTCAAAAGTTTAGAGATTAATTAGTAATTTTTTTGGGCATTTGTGAAATAAATAAAAAAATTAGGGACTAATTTGAACTTTTTTAGGAGAATTTTTATAATATATTAAAATTTAAGAGATTAATATATAATTTTTTTAAAATAAAATTGTCATTGACATCATTGGTCCAACCGATTGGACCGGTTGACCCGAGCAACAAAACAGGTTACTCTCCAATCCAGGTTTTAAAACAATGCTTAAATCTTGAAAACAAAAGAGATTCGAACCTAAGAATTCTACCCGAGATAACCATAAATAAAAATTTTAGAGACTAATTTAAACTTTTTTAGGGGAATTTTTATAATATATTAAAATTTAAGGGATTAATATGTAATTTTTTTTAAATAAACAATATTCGACATCATCGGTCCAATCGGTTTGAACCGATGGCCCAGACAACAAAACAAGTTACTCTCCAATCCGGGTTTAACAATGCTTAAATCTTGAAAACAAAATAGATTCGAACCTAAGAATTCTACCCGAGATAACCAAAGAGCATACAAAAAAATTGAAATGGCTCTTTTATTAGTTACAAGAAAAAAATTGAAAAATTGAATTACTCTTTTATTAGTTACAACTTACAACAAGAAAAAAAATTGTAATCCAAAAAGGAATAGAGTTACAGGTAATGTATAAAATATAAAGCTGTATCGAATTTTTATCTATTCTTGTAAAAAAATGCTAATCTTACTCACTCCCTTTAGTTACTTCTCTTACTCACAGTTGTTAAAATAACATATGGTACCCATACTATGCATATGGTACTCGTATTGTGAGTAAAGCTAACATTACTCAATCTTGTATCGGCATTTCTGCAATAGCAAATACGAGTTGCTTGTCCCTGGAATCAGCACCGTATTTTGCTAGGCTCTCCAACAGCTCTTTTCACCATCACTTCACATGACTATAATCGTCTGAAACAAGTATCCGTGCCGGCAAACGGCGGAGTCACTCATCTGTTTGATAACCAGAACAATCCCAAGACGCTATTAGAAGTATCAAATCATTGATTGAATATAAGAGCACAGAAATAGAAATGGCTTCCAACCTTTTATATTTGGCGACAAGCGAAGAAGAGAGCAAGGGATTATCCACTAGTTCAACTTAAGAGCAAAATTATTGAAGACAATTCCGAAAGAAACGAACTCCCTGTTACAGGAAACAATACGAGTAATCATAAAAGGGTGCTCAAATAAACAAAGATAGGAAGAAGAAACAGAACTGAAATTGAAATAAATAAATAAAAGGAACACATAAACGCAGAAAACTTAGAAGGTTTGATCAATACCTGCAATGCAAAAGTGATATCAGACTCATCTATTTTTAATGTTACTCTTTTCAATTTATCTTCACGAGACTGGCCTAATTTGAGAAGCCCCTGCCAACATCATTTCCATTATTATATTATCAATGGGATATTACCCGAAATCCCATTCTAAAGTGGAAGTCATTGTGCTCTACGTAAATTACCGTACAATAATCTTTTAGTTTTAGTTACCTGGTCATTTAGCACTCTGCACATACTCGAAAATTCCAGAATTCCAACTGGTGGAATGAGGGACGTTTTGCAGATTTCCATATATGATTTATTTAGCTGCATCCAAGAAACAAAACTCAAATATTGAAAATATTGAAAATATACTACCAGTTCCCCTCGTCAATTTACCGGTAAGCAATAGAAGGAAACTCACCTCCCCAACAGTTGTATCTTTCTTTCCTCTGCGGAAGAACTTCACCGCAGAGCAAAGTATAATCTGTCATTAAAGTGTCATCATGAGAAATTGAAGCTAAGAAGAATGATGAGATACAAATGTCAATGTGTTATTTGTGTAATGTTTTGTATATAAACTAATATGTGTTTAGTCCAAACTTACTTGTTGATGTTGAGGGAGAGACTGTATGGTGTCGACTACTGGAGATTTAAATGTATTTGACAAAGCAACAGCCATATGATCAACCCTCACCTGCAGAGCATGGTTTAGAAGTTATTAGGCAACAGTGCAAATTTTGTTATTGTTAGAGAACAATGTCTTCATAACAAATATAAACTAAGAATAGATAAATATGAGGCGAATAGCACGAAAATATAATTTGCCTGCGAATTGAAGAATTCAAGAGCTGGAGCTGCCTGTTGATCAAAGGACCCTTTCTCGACTGATGTTGAGTTTATTTTGCTTGCAGACTCTCTCAGTTCCGTATCTAGCACCTCAATTGCACTCCTGAAACAAATTCAAGAACATAAATGTTGAAGATTTTATTGAGGTCAAAGGCTCAAAGCAAGGAAGCCTACACTGTTCATATCTGACTTCATATAATTAAAGAAGAGGTGCAATAAACACTGACCTGCAAACACTCAGAGCTTTCCGCATGTCTCCAGAAGCAGCAGCAACTTTCTGTCGAATTTAATAGTCAGTATCAATTAATAATAGCACAACAGAAGAAAGAAAGTCTGGTTTACTGCAGCACACTAAAGTATTATGCATGGTGACTCACTCTGGCACAGAGTTCCAATGCTTGTGGCTGAAAGACAATATAAGGAAGTGCCTGTTGGAAGAATATAACATTTGTGAGAAAAAGACGAGGAATGTAGGAAATACTTTGCTCCAATATGATTTCAAGTTTAGCATTTCAGAGGATGCCAGTATCTCTGTTTATTTTTATGCCAACACATTATCATTTTATAAATAAAACAGAAAGCAAACTATCTGTTTGTTGGAAACCAAAGGAATTACCATGAGCCTCTCCTGAAGTATTCTGATGATTTGATCTTTAGAGTAAGCTCGAAATGTCACAACAAGAGGTTTACCTAACACAAGAAATGTAGAACCAGACCATTCAGTACTATTAAGGAAATTTTTTCAACCCCAGAGAGCACGTATGCTACTGATTCCACTTCAACAAAATGCAGCTGTCAGTATGAAAAAAAATGAGTTTCCATTATTTGCACTACTAATTTAAAATTGATGACGACGCCAAACAGGGAGAATCATGATGGATGAAGTAAATGGAAAATTTGCCTTATGAAATTGCCGTTTGGAAGCGAGGATAAGCATTATGAAGAAAATCTAGGTAAATATCTCGGCCAAAGCATAATCCAGCAAAAGTAAATGTTTATTTACATAAAACATTATGATATAAAGTAATGACTCACAATTCAGTGACTGAAGTCTTGGAAGAAATCTATCTGCAAGATCTATGGCATTTGCTATTCCTGTAAAGCGAAGATATTGTAAGCAAAAGTGGCATGCAGTTTTAAGATAGAGAAAACAGAAGGGAGCGAAACATGTCAATGAGATAGTTGCCACAAACAGTACACTATTATAGAATCTAGAGACGAAAAGTTGTAAGCATGAAAAGATCATGAAGGACCGCTCGGTCTCTGGTAATCAAATAATCCAACTCATCAGCAACAATTAGCCTGCAAAAGCGAGATTGGTCAAAAGAACAATCCTTATGGTGGCATGCATTTTTATATTTTGATAAATGCCATAAATTTTGCTGAAACAACCAACAAATTATTCATCGAATTCCGAAATAAATTGATTGTAATCGTGAATTTTACGGCTAAATATTAGCATTGTGCACACGCTCTGTAAGCTACACATATTCTATCACTAATGTCGCGCTGAATTTTACAAGAAAAAGATACACTTGGTTGAGGAAAACTATCTTACATCATTTTTGAGCCAGATGACTGCTGCTTTTGAGAATACAAGTTCTGAAGTTGTTGTAAAGGTGAAGTGGAGCCACTGATTTTCTTCCTTCCTTGCATTTTAAAAATAATCTGTCAACACAATTAGCATATTAGCACCTGATGTCTCTCAGTCTTATACAAAAATTGGATTACCCTTCCGTTCTCTGTACCTTGCTGAAAATTTCAGATGTGTTTGTAAGTGAAGTACAATTAATGGCTAATACATCTGGCACCTGAAAACCCTCCTGGCAGAGAAATCAAGAGATCAGCGAACAGTAACATTCGAAAAGTAAGTGATAAATTAAACACTACACAGCAAATGATTCTGAAAGCACCCATCATAAAGCAGCAAAAAGAGCCATAAAACAAGCAATATATCAGCTGTGATCATATACCTCTTTAGCCCAGTCAAGCAAATGCTGTTTAATTTTCTCCATGGACAATGATTTCCCTGTCCCGGGACAACCACACACATACAAACTCCCAGCCTTCTCTTGTTCCAAATGCTTCTTACAGAACTCCAAAACCCTTTTCTGCTCCTCCTCACGACAGACAACCGTCGATGGCGCTGTTGACACGTGTAGAGCCTCCTTTACTGCACTCATTTGCTCCACATCTGAAAAGAAAGAACAAAAATAAAACAAAACCCCAATTAACACCTAAACATAAAATTAAAACAAAAACATAAAAAGTATTCATATAATTTATAAAACTTGCCTTGAGGATTCCAATTTGGTTTGGCTTTACGACTCTCAAATAATCTCTTCTTAACCGGTGATTTGCGCGTCACGAGTTTTTCATCTGAACTTTTTTTAATTCCCTGCATTAATTGTTTTAAGTTGCAAAGCGAAATTAAATTAAAGAAAAAACAAACAGCATGATATAATTAGCTAATTCTGTGCATCTATTTAATTGACTTACTTTGACATAGGATAAAATTACTAAATGATAAAACTCACATTAATAGGAGTGTTTGGACTGGAATTGAGGCTACGGCGAGGAGATTTCCATTTCATCGGCGTTGAAGTTGGGCTCTTGTTCTGCTCCGCTGCCGCATCAGATCTCAGTCTCCGCTTCTGAGGAGTTGAATCACCGTTGGATCTGGCGATCTCACCAGACTTCTCCGATTTGATGGCCGAGATGGAATCGCGACTGGCAATTGCAGGCATTGTTGGGAATTGATTCTCTTTGTTTTGGGGGTAAAATGGTGGGAAATGTGTTTGGATTCTGAGAAAATCTTATGTATATATAAGGGTTTAAACAAAAAGGAAAATGTCGACAAATGGCTTGTTTTCGCGGGAAAATGTAAACGCAACAAATTCAGTCCCGCGCTCTCGTTTAAGTATTTTTGAAGCAAGGTATTTACAGTAATGGGCCGGAGATTTGACTGGGCCGTATATAGGCTAGACAGAATTTGGGTTAGGCCCATAAGCATTTCTCTTTCATTATCCTATTAAAGCATATGTAAGTACTTTGACATGCTCCTTAATTTTTGTAAAATTTCAAAATAAATAATATAATATTACGAGAGCACAAGATAATAACATATTATGTTAAAGATGGAAAATAATACAGTCATCGAAGGTAGTGTATCAAATTTATGCACCAAAAAACGTGACAAAATCCTGACCGTTGATTTTGTCACATCATTCGGTGCATTACTTCGGTGACTATAGCATTACTCGTTAAAGATAGTGTAAATAGATATATGGTCTCAGGTTCGATTCCTCATCTGCGCATATGAGATTTGAGTTGGAGGGCATGGTAGTGGATTGTTGCTCTAGTCTACCCTAAAGATTGGTTACGATTTAAGTGAAGAGTTGTGGAGGTGGATTGATGTGTTAGGCTCTCTTGATGATTAGTCAAGGTGTACGTAAATTAGCCTAAACACTTTGGTTAAAAAAATAAAAAAAAAATCAATTTTTCATTTAACTTTAGAACTTCCCCCCCGGGGGTAGTCGAAATACGTGCAAGCTAGTATGAACACCTCCGATAAAAAATAAAAAATAAAAGGGTAGATAAAGTAGAAAGAATATGTGGATGGCATAAAGTGATTGAATTATAATATGAAAAACGTGATACTTGGTAGTATTATAGATTTTTTTGAAAATATATCGATAAAACTATTAATACAAAATTGAAATATCAATTTTAAATCTCTAATGGTGTAGCAATTGGCTAGACAATATCACATTAATTAAAATATATATGGGAAATAATGTTATTTAATTTATAATCAATTTGATACTAACACACATAAATTAAAACCGAACTCAACTTTATTAATATGCCAATACTCAAAGATAACACAACCAAGCAAAGATATATGATCGACCGTTCACATTTTTTATTTTTTTGATGACTAAGGGTGCTCGGGCTAGTTTGTACACACTTTAACTAATCCTTAAAAGCTCTGAAGTTAACAATTAGGTAAACCCTCCGATGACCACTTCTATTAGCAATCAAAGCGAATTGAACTTAAAACATTTTGAGTAATACATCTAAAAGTCTCTATCGTCTCACCCGGCCACCCAGTAGTGGTCACCACTACCATCTTTCTACCACATATTTAGACCACAAACAATAAAATTATATATGAATCAATGAATCTGTCCACGCAATATACAAATCTCAAGCATCCTTTGATTTAGACAATTGAAGAATACATAAAGATACAGACTAGTTGTGAATGAGTAGGATCCATTCATCCATCCAATATATTAAGCTTCAAGAAAGGAAGAACAAGTAGAAATCTCAAGTCTCAAGCTTTCATTTTAGTTCTCATTAAACTAGAGGAATAAATTTTGGTCATTGAAGAATACTTGTCTGGCTCTGCTACAACATCCCTGAGCTTTCAATAGAGGAAGATCGATGTTACGTGAGATAATGAATATATATTTACATAAATATATGAATGGAAATGCTTGGATACTGATAAGATTCTAAAACAAGAATTGATCATATATATATTGTTATGCCTAAAAATTCAGAACTGATGTAGACTTTCATCAGCAAGAGCCAATCAGAATTCAAGGAGGCTTTCTAGCTTTGTACAGTCTAGACGTTGCTACGTTGCGTAATGATGGAAGTGTCAGGCTTGCGAGTGGCTAAGAATCGTCCACCTGCCCAAGCCCTATGCAATTTAAGGATATCTCTTGTGCAGACAACCAATGGGAAGCAGGTTAGGAATTATACCCCACTTGCCAAACTGCAGACTAATGATTATTTCCTTGAATCCTTCCACTATAAATAGAGGACTCCTCTCTCATTTACAGGATTGACTTATCTTTAATCTTAAACAGCATACTCTCTCTCTCTCTCTCTCTCTCTCTCTCTCTCTATTATCTCTAGATTATAACTCAGCTCGTTACATGCGACCTGACTATAACCATCTATTAATATAACTACAATGGACATATGAATCGCTTTTGAACATCAAAACTACTTTAAAAACCATATTTTATTTACTCTTGCTATATATTTCCATATCACGTGTAACTTCTAAGACCGATTAGCACTTTATACGTGTGAGTCGTTAGTGTCAAAATCAAGCATCAATATATATATATATATACATGCACGCGTGTAAGCACATCAACTACTCCAAAAACTCATAAACTGGCTCGCATGAGTTAGCGATATCTGTAGATTCTGTATGGATTTGAATGGCCAAACAACCCTAAACTCGGTGGCGTATAATCACTCAAAGAAACCAATCAAAAACAAGAGCTGGCCCGTCTACACTGACTTGTTTCAGTCGGTGAAAATGACCATTAATTTCTATGTCGAAAAGGACCACCCCTCTTAGACATTTTCACTGTTTCTCAACCTCCCCAAAATATCCTCTTCTTCATGCATGAAACACAGTATATTATTTAAGAGACTTTCATCAATTTGTTTTCTAATTAATGGCAAGTTGTGGGTGTAAGTAGAAAGTACATTGGTAATTTAGAGTGGGAAGGAGAAGGATAAGAAGAAATATGAGAGGGACAGAAAGATAGAGATCAAAATCAAAGCATTTTTTTATTAATTAAGTGAGTGGGAGAGAAAGAGAGAAGATGAGAAGATAAGAAGACTGGCGTGGCCTTGGCGTCTACATGTCTCTGTCCGATCTTAGCCCATGTGAATTAGAGGTCCCTCACGGCGTTTTCCTTCTTGTTTTGGCTGTTCTCTTAATGCCAACAATCGAGTCTAGCTACACGAATCCTTCCAATCTTCCATCTCTTCTCTACAACACCATATCAATTAAACAAACAACTGAATGATTAAAGATTTTCTCAAACTCCAGCTTGTTCTTCCAAATCGTTTTGGTTTGTTTGTCTCAAACAAAACCTTTTCCACTTAATTTAGTCTTACTATTTAATAGTTATTGATACATGTTGTTACGAAAATCCACAACAATCCGCAATACCTAATTGACCTTGGAGGGATTGAGTAAGATGTGAGTAATCAACAAGAAATAAGTTAAATTGCAAAGAAAAATAATCAAAGAAGATTTTTAAAATGGTTCTGTGAGTTCAAATCAAGCCTACCTCATGTTATTAAAGTGTTTTTGCCTTACAATAAAATTATCTCTCCTCTCAAGATTTTCCAACTGTTTTACTATGATTTTTAGGGGTTTTTATACTACGAAATTGCAACAGTCACAAGAGAAATTTTAGGGACAATGGCATAATTTTCGAGAGTGTTCTCGTGATCTTCTGCTTAATTTTAGGACATAATACAATCCATGATTTGGAGAATAACTACTCAACAACTTGCTCCAATCTAATCGTCGCCTCGAGCTACTTCCTGCTCCGAACTGACCGTGCATCCTTGCACAACAATTTCATTATTCACTAGTTTCTATAATTTGATATTAATGTATACTGTATTCTAAAAAAAGTTTCATTATGTTAATTAAATTCAAAGAAAAGAAAGTCGTCCCTTGAAGCTTTCCCAAATTAAATAGGGTTAAGTACCTTATTAATACTAATTATGCGTAAGTGGCATGTGCAACGACTCCCCAGTACCTAGATTAACGATCTAATTAAACGGCTATTAATATGCTCACTGTACTGTGTGCTTACAACATTTTTCCCAGTATTTTAGCATCTTCTATGTCTCATGGCTTCCATTTACTAAATTTCTTTACTCGGTTTCGTTCCTTCCTTTAGAGTGACTGGTTGGATTCCACTTCGTATAAAAAAGAAAAGGCAAAACCCTAATGGGTTCTTTATACTTTTTGCTGCTGTCTCGTACCAGATTCAGCTCCACATGATGTTGATACAAAACCCTAGGAAAACCGCATTGCATGCCACGTGGTTCTGTTTCTTCACCTTTTGTCATATGTCTCCATTTCTTTCCAACATTTATGAGAATTGATTTCAATAAGGATAAAATAATGCACAGTAGCAAGAAGAGCTAGCCATCCATCTGCAATACGACATATTCATCACATGATAATTCAATTTCTTGAACTTAAAGTTATTGCTTACTGGCCACTTCTAGATATATATAGATCACCAGAAATCGTGATTCACAGTGTGAAAAGTTTAAGCTCGCAGTCTTTATTTCGCCATGGCCCAATTCTTGTCTCTTCAACATGATCTTGTTCGTTTCACTTTCTCTCAAATTATCCCACCTAACAGTGAGAGAGAAAAAGAAAAGCTAAACATTAACTTGCTCCACCACATTCTCATCACTCCATGATGCATGTTTCTTTCTCTTTTCTGTTCCCATTTCTTGATAATTATTGGTTGTTTTCTTCTCATTATTTTCTCTGTTATACGCATCTAAATTGGCATTTTTTTTCTTTCTGCGAGTCTTTTTTGTTTGACATTATTTGTTTAGTGTTAGCGATCCGCGTTTTAGTGGGGGTGACTATTTTCCCCACTGTGACTGATTTATCATACGCATGCATGCTTGCCTCTCTTAAATGTCAAACAGGATTTTAAGGTTCAAATTCCACTGCTTGCAGGAAATTAAAAGTAATATATCCTAACGTTGGTATAAACTATAAAGTGTAAGACAACTATAATGTCAATATCGTGTTACTAGGCCTAACGCACAAACATTGCATCGGAGCAAATTCTAAGCTTTTTCCCAAGGCAACTATTGCATCATCAGAAAGCTCTGAAGTGGTACAATTTTTTTTTTTTTCAGTCGTTGCATGGTCAACAACGTTTAAATAACGTCGTAAAATTTGTATTAATATTTCTAGATTTGATTCTATTCATTTATCTTGATAAAGAACAAATTTCCACTGTGGTAGACTATGTGTGAGTTAATTATTTGAGAGAAAACCATATATCGAAGGTAGGGCAAAAAACTTCAAACACAAACACATCACAGGAAGAAGGGTGTAAAATTTTGCTATTGAGTCAAATCACATTTGTTGTGTCTAAAAAATCGCATTGATGTCAGCACCAATCAATCAGAGTTCATGAAGGCTTTGTACTATTCAGAAGTTGCCACGTCACCCTAAGACAGAAGGGATACGGGTATCACCAACCCAGCAAATTCAAGTTTTGTCTGTGAGTGGATGAGGACCGCACACCTGTCTCAACTTTATCAAAATAAAGTTGATAAGGATTAAGAAGTGATCCCCACATGTCAGGGCAACTTACAAAAATATTCATTACATTGACCTAAAATGTGTATAAATAAGCACTTCTCTTCACGGAAAGGGGGGTTGGGCATACGAGAGCTAGACATAGATTTGAGCTTCATTATTTCTCTCTATAAACAAAGTATTTCTTAATCTTTGTATGTTTTACAGACAATATCATAGAAATAATTATAGAATAATAAAATAACAGTAGATGTAGGAGTTGCTTTAAGCATCTGAACCACTATAAAATCCTCTCTTGTCAGTATATTATTTATGTTTCTATAAAATATATAGTTTCAACACCATATTCAAATCTTATGAATCCATCATATATAATTTCTAAAACTCTCTTAATATTTTATACATATAAATCGTTGGTATCTAAAATCAAACATCAACAACTTAATTTGTGGAAAAAAATGAAGGACAGAAGAGGGTGGCGATTTGAGTTTAAGAACAGGCACTGAATTTGATACGGGGTCAGTATCTAAATGAATATAAGACAAACAAAGAGATACGCTTCGCCATTGGGAGGTGAAAAAATCTGCCATCAATTCTCGAGTCGAGAGAGAAGAAAGAGAGAGGAGGAACATATTCACTTATGGTGCGCCAGCCTGTCTATCAATTGTTGGTGTCGAATGATTGTCGTGTGTTGAAACAGCGACGAACGAACCTCGCCTTTTAGTTTGATTGGGCCCTTTGCATGGGCCTACAACTTTGACCTCCCTCACTACTAATAACACACCGTCCATTTAATATGTAAACCCCCCTCGCACTAAATACCAAAAGTCTAAATTCTCACGTGCATCACGTTGATTATATCATAAATTTATATATTTATACGCGTATAATTTTTTTTTTATTTTCACATATTTTATTAAATTTAATACTTATTTGTATTTGTTTTATACACGAGATTGATAACGCGATTATGAGCTATTTCCCTACTCAAAAGAGAGTCCTAAGCAGACACGACAACAAGATTTTCTATCAACGTTCGATATGGTCAAAAAATATGATAGGTATCTTTCTCACTACTAACCTTTTGTATGGGTTTACAACTTTGACCTCCCTCACTACTAATAACACACCATCCATTTAATATGTAAACCCCTCTCGCACTAATACCAAAAGTCTAAATTCTCACGTGCATCACGTTGATCATATCGTAAATTTATATATTTCTACGTGTATAATATTTTTTTTATTTTTGCATATTTTATTAAATTTAATACTTATTTGTATTTGTTCTTGTTTTTTATAACAATATTTATACGATATTCAAGTGGATTCTAATAAAAGGTTTAGATTTTTATTTTTATTTGACATGGGATTACAATTATACGTATATTTCGTGTATATACATAAAATGAATAAATAAATAAACAAGAAGCACTTTTTACAATCAAAGAGAGTACTTGATAATCTTACAGAGTGTTAAAAACATTGGCACTAAAGATATACTTTAAGCCGGTAAAAGAAAATCACCTTGACAAAAGTATAAAGAAAAATGCTTTTAATAATGTTTAAAGCGATCCAAACACACCCTTTTGTTACCTCAACAAATATTTTTACCTAATTTTTTTTTTTTCTTACAAAAGAGGTATTCGTACACAATTGTCCAAGTGAATTTATACACAAGACTGATAACGAGATTGTGAGCTATTTCCTTACTCAAAAGAGAGCTCCGATCGAGCACGGTAACAAGATTTTTTGTCGATGTTCGATATAGTCCAAAAATATGATAGGTATCTTCCTTGCGACTGACCCTTACATATAGCTAACCTCAATGATATAATGGATTGTCATCTAGTCATATTGTCATAACTATATTATATTATGATAATATGAAAATTAGTATTAACATTATACGCTCTGTTTGTTTTAATATTTTTACACTATTCTATTCTTATAATTCTAAAAATACATGTTTGTTTCCCTATTTTGAAAATCATATTATATTTTATTCAATTACTTTTAAATCCCTAGGTTTGTTAATTTAACTAAATAAAAAGTTTAGAAATTGACAAAAACATCCCTATCACCCATATTTGCCAGATTTCGGCCACTACTGTCGGAAGGTGGCCAGGATCTGGTATAATATCGTACTAGCGACTGGATCTGGCCAGTAGTACACCGATATAGTTTTTTTCGGACAAATCTATCGTGGATCTGACCGAAAAATGTCAGATCTACGACTAAAGATTTGGTTGTTGACAGCCAGATTTTTTACTGTAACTAGTCATAAACGACGGCCAAGATGTGGTCGTCGTTGACGACCAAACGCGACCAGATCCACGATGGATCTGATTGAAAAATGTCATTTCAATGCATGACCCACCAGATCCAGCTAGTCATATATCGATACAGGGAATCCGGCCATCCTCTGATGGTGGTGGCTGATTACCAGTATTTAATAAGTAGATAAAAGTGTTTTTATAATTTTTAAAATTTTTATTACAGAGGTATTTAACAAATTAACAAACCTAAATGAATATTTTTGGTAATTTTTAAATCCTACCAGCTCGTTGTTACCCCCACAACTCTTAATTTTTTTTTTTTTTTTTGTTCTTTTTTTTAATACTGCATCAAACGGACCATAATCATATTAATGCGACTTGGATCATCTTAGTACAACTTGCACACGACTTGTGGTATTCTTTATTATTTTTTCTTTGAAGATAATTATTAGAATCTCCCTCGCCAATAATAAGAAAACAGAAAAGACAATGTGAGAGAAAGAATATCGGCCGTTGAAAAAGATTTCAATCAGTTAATATGAACCGTACATGTCCAGTGGAGTCACCATGACCGTTGATTTCTCATTTCTCTTATTTATCAACCGTTCATCTCGACTGGTGTCACCATCAGCGGTCGTTTCTCGTTTCATAAAGCAAGCTGGCTCCCTGTGCTTTCATTTTGGACCGTCGAATTCTCACCGCTACCCTTTCGCCACAAACAGATATTTTTCCATACTCCTGTCATCTTCCGGATAAATTATTAAAAATATAAAAATATTAGCACTTGAGATACGCATTTACCATTACACCCTCGATTTATTTTCCTTTCATTTAATTAAAGCAATTTCTATAATCCATCTTGCTTATGATAATTAGAAAGAAGACTAAACATATATAGAAATTCCTTTTTTATTATTTGTATATAATAACTTTATTCAATTCAAACATTAAAAATAACCCATATAATAAACTCACATTGCTTAGTTGTAATTTGAATAATATAATTCAGTTAGAGACAACACAAATCATTTTCACGACACATCTATATTTCTTTTATGAACGGATGTCCGATCGCTTTTATGATTGAAGGTATTCAAGTCAGTTTACACACACCTCAACTAATCCCTAAAACACTAGATATACGGTCAAATAAGAGCTCCAATGGATACCCCTATTAGAGGTCGTGGGAACTCGAACTCAAAATACCATGTCAGATCCTTCTCTTGCTCTTTTACCATAAAAGGGATTCGAGCTTAAGAAACTATTTTAGATCCTCATTTACTTTTTTACTATCAGGGCACCTAGTGATGGTTACACCACACATCTATATTTACTTTTCTTATAATAAAAATGTGAAATTCAATTCAATTTTTGTTATAAATAAAATCTAAATCACGTAATTTGGTTAGGGTAAGTGCAACACGTAACAAATTTTAAGTTATTCAATAATTTATATTTAAGTGTAATTAACTAATTATGTTAAAGAATAATTATCTTTAGTCTTTGGTAATAAGGAAGGGTAGTTTTGACATTTCAGTTGAATAGCGACTGAATTAAGGTCAAAGTAAAGCTCAAGTAGTATTACGTTAACATTACTGAACAAGAATAGTCCATTTTTACGTATTAAGCTCCACCGCCATTAACAAAATACTGTACTTGCTAAATAAATACCGTCTTAACTGGCACGTTTCAACCATTCAACAAACAGAGTCGGTGTGTGACTCACGGTTTCATCTTAACACTAACCACATTTTAATACTAGCTGTAGCTGGTGGTCGGTGTCAACACGTGGCGCATTCTAAGCGGCCAGATCAGATCCACTTGGGTCCGTGAAATTAGCCGCCTTGGAGTAAAATATCACAGAAAGTAGTTTCCATTGTAACCGGCTACTGACCCGGACCCCCAAACTAAACACACTTATAGTTCTCTGTTAACTAGACCGGAACTCCCCGTCTTTTACTGTATTTATATACGGTATTATTTTCCATTTCTTTTATTCTGAGTTTAAGTTAGATTCTGATATTTTTTTTTTTTTTAAATTTTAAAAAACAATTTTTCGGTTTATATATAAGACTCGTAGGGCTCTTGTGTTCCTGAATTGATAAAGCGAAGTTACGGTTTGTACTTTGTACTTCGCTTCGAGTCTTCACTGGAACTCTTCGCCGGATCTTGATCGGAGAAAGCGAGAGTTAACATTGAACAACGTTTAAATCAAACGTAAGTGTTGCCGCGTAATCTTTCTTGAATTTTTCATTTTCTCGGATCTACCTTCGATTTTTCGGTTGTCGTGCTGGTTTAGCCGGTCTCGATCTGGGAAACCAGAACTGATTTTTTAAACTTCCTACTTTTTGGGAAAATGGTGGTGGAAGGGAACGAGTTCGTTTGAAAATTTTGTCATTTGTTCATTTTGTTTATTTGTTTGTTCATTTTCAGGTGAAAGGGGAGCAAAGTAGAATACTTTTTCATGGATCTGAGTTGAAAAAGTTATTCAGATTCCTGTTTGTCAAAAGAGAAAATTTTGATTCAATTTTTCTCATCTTATCTTTAGAGGGATGGGAATAAAAGTAGCGAGCACATGTTTGCATTGGTCACAACCGATTGTTCCTCACTCTTCATCGTCTTCTCAAACACTAGCTTCAGCGGTCTCTTCACCTTCTGCGAAACGACGCCGTCACGACGGTTCAGCTCTGGTGTGCCGGTACGTGCAGAGACTTGACCGATCATCTCTCTTCGGAGCAAAATTAACGAAGCTCCGCAGGTCCCAGTCTTACGAGTACCCACAATCAAAACCACAACTCACCGTACTAAGAAGAACTTACAGTGCCAGCTTGGACGCCTTCCGGTTCCAAGATGACGGGGATGAAAACGGCGACAGTGATGATAACAGTAACGGCGTAGATCCTTCATGGCAAGCCCATGAACCACCAGAGAGTATTGAACGGAAGGCTAACAGTGTGGACCTTCCGATATCGCTAAGAATGATAAAGAGAAAGTTAAAATGGCAAGACGGGTTTATAGAAGCAGGAGAATCAGCCTATTCTTCAGTTAAAAAAGCGTTTTCATCCATGGTGTTTATAATCCGAGAGCTTCATAGCTTCACTTTACATATGAGAGAGATTCTGTATTACGAAGATTTACAAGGGATTCTTGTAAGGGTTCAAAGAGAGATGCACGCTTCTTTTGTGTGGTTGTTTCAACAAGTGTTCTCTCATACACCAACTTTAATGGTGTATGTTATGATACTTTTAGCGAATTTTACAGTATATTCAATGGCTAGTAACCCTGCACTCGCAGTTTCAGTTTCTCCACCAACAACTGAAGTTGCTTCGGTGATTGAGGTTGAGGAAAACAGGAATTTAAATTCTGGTTCTTCATCGATTAAGAGCTTTACAGTGTCTTCCTCAAGTGGGAAAGCCACGTCAATTGGAGGAAATAACAATGGCGGTGGCGGGAAAATCCGGCCGGTGGCTAGCGGCACAGATGGGGATGGAGGGTTTGACCGGATTGACCATTTTAGAACAATTGTGCCTGACGGTGCTTCACAGTTGTCATCTCTTGGGACGACTAGAGAGGCAGAGTCGGTGTCAGAGCAATTAGTTAAAGAAGAAGAGATGAATTTGTGGAATTCAATTCTTAACGAAGCTTCTCAAATGCAAGCTTCAGTAAGAGGAGACGAGTCTCTCGATCATGAGACCATGCAAAGATTCGTTTCACCAATCAAGGCCAACATTGAATCTGATGAGTACGCAGATTATTTCAAAACAGAGCTCCTTTATCAAATAAGCTTGCAGAGAGAGCCCCAGAACCCTCTTCTTCTCGCCAATTATGCTCAATTTCTCTACCTCGTTGCTCATGACTACGACAGGTATAAATCTCTTCTTTTATTTATCTAATTAATTAATTAAATTTCAGTGGTAGCCATTCGAATCTTGATACTTTACAGTCGCGAATATCTCTTCGTTTTATTAAACTTGTCGTTTGTTCATATTTGGGTTGGTGTTTTCTAAAAAGTGATAGCGAAATCAGTGGTGTAAAGCTCTTCTTCTTCAAGCTATCACACCTTTAGGCGTGACTTACCACGTTTTCACAAGAAAGATCTTGTTCATTTCACCTACCTTAGACCAGTGGAAAACCCTTTGTTGACTTTGGTTTGTTTAAACTATTTGATCACCACCCGTTAGTTAATCTGTAATTAAGACAAGATGTTGATTTGTTTGTTTGTTTGTGATTTGCAGAGCGGAGGAGTATTTCAAGAGAGCAATTGGGGTGGAGCCAGCAGATGCAGATGCAGAGGCATTTAACAAATACGCAAGCTTTTTATGGAAAGCGAGGAAGGATTTATGGGCAGCTGAAGAGACGTTCCTGGAAGCCATTGCTGCTGACCCAACAAACTCCTACTACGCGGCTAATTACGCCCACTTTTTATGGAACACTGGTGCGGAGGACACGTGTTTCCCTCTCGACTCTCCAGATGCCACTCAAGAAGAAGCTTAATCCTGTCACGTGAAAAAAAAAAAAAAAAAAAAAAAATCTCAAAACACATACACAACAAAAGTACAACCAACCAAAGCATATCACTACCCTCTCCGGTTATTTTCCGGGAGTTTCTAAAGAACAATAAAAATATGCACACAAAAAAAAAATTTGAGAGAAAGAAGAGTTTTTTAAAAATTAGTTTTGGGAAATATCTAGGAGAGTAATAGTAGTGGGTGTTTGGGAACAGGGTTGCACGTGACGTGACCGTGGTGGGGGCAATTTGTGTTAAGACTGGCGTATTGTGTTTGTCTCTGCCACTGCCACTGGAGGTGCCTCTTGGAATATGCAAGTTGCATCAGTGGGAGTGGCCGGTGTTTGCTAGCTGGGTTTTTGCTTTTTTCCTTCGCACAGTTTTTTGGTGACACAATCATATTCCAAAATTGTAATTAAACTTTTGTTAATATTTCGTAGAAATCAAATATAAAATTCGGCAAACATCCTCGTGTTTTTCATGCCTCTTTTATCTCTTTTCCTTTGTTTGGATGAAATACCCAGAAAAAAAATATACGTATAAAGATAAAGCTGAACCCACAGACAGATTCAAGATCAAACCTAAATCCCCTTTTTCTAGTTCTAGAAAACAATCGAAAGCATGCGCTGCAATCTAATTGGTAATCTATTTATTTTGCTTCATTTGTGCATATGCGTATAAATGAAGGAAGAAAGAAGCATTAGTGAACACATGGACATGGGAGTCCTAATGCAGAATTTTACAGGTCTCGGTCTCGGGATTGAGTCGGGCCAACAGCGAAATGACGATTTGTCACGTGAAGAGACGGTGAAACCAAGCTACTGCTATGGCTCTCTTCACTCTCACCCATCACTAGCCACCTGTCCTCTGTCTCTAAAATGTTTTTTATTTATTGCGTGTTTGGATTGGTGCAATGTATGATGTATCCAAGTTTTTCAAATTATCAAAACTCTGCACCAAATCTCTTAGGCCGCGTTTGATCGGAGGTTGGAAGATTAATGGGTTATCTTATCTTATATTACTTGATTATCATATTTGGTTGTTAAATAATATAAGATTTTAGTGTAATATTGTATTATCAATAGTTTACTATAGTAATATTGGAGGTAATCAAGATTATCAATAGTTTACTGTAGTAATATTGGAGGTAATCTGATTACCTCTATTTTTTAGGTATTGTAAGATTATCAAGATAATTTTATTTTTGTTACAATTATATTCCTTATTAATAAAAGTTTTGAACAATAATGCCCTTGTTTTGAAATAAATTTACATTAATATACCATTTCAATTTTACCCTTGTTTAATTAAGTTTTTGAACAATAATGCCCTTATATTTAAAACAAATTACAGACCATCGTCGTCGCCACCACCGCCAATAGCAAACCAACCACCATGAACTGCCGCCGAAAAGTCGTCGGAGTCCCTAAAAATGGCCAAGATTCGCTAGAAGGCTCCGAGAGGCTTCAATATGACAATTTTCAACCATATTAGGCCAGATCTGGCCGTTAACGACCATGGACATGGCCATTTTCTTCCATCAATATGGTCGAAAACTGCCATATCGGAGCCTTGTGGTCACGGTGAGCTACTCACGATGAATTTCGGAGACTTCCGACAGTGGTTTGCGGTGGCGGCAGGGATAGGGGTGATTTTGTCATAAATTAAAGTTTTATATAAGCGGGGGTACTTTAACTAAATATGAAATATTGGGGGTTAAAAGAAATTATTCCAAAATTAATAATGAAAATAATATTATAGTAATATTTAAAAAGAGGGCAATTATGTAATTTAAATAACATACCTACCAATTTATTCCCCCTAACCAAACATATTAGTATAACATACCTACCAACTAACCAAACACATTTTCCTAAAGATTCCTAATAATCTTCAAGGTAATATAAGATTTCAGTAATCCAACATTCCCTTAACCAAACGCACCCTTATGGTTATAGGTTATAGTTCCCTTTAAGATTATATATTTTTATACAATGCATACCCGCATTTATTACTTCCGATTTTTATTCTTTCTTCTACTTATTACATTATATTTAATATTTGTATTTGTACATGTCTTCTACCGATATTTCCAGTTTTTTTTTAAATATGGACTTTGTTAACTTGATTTGTTATCATTGATCTTGAGTTCGATTCACTTGGCTGCTAATAGAGCAATTATTAGAGTTCTTACCTAGCTGATAATTTCATAGTCTAAGGGATTAGTTAAGATGTGTGCGAGTTAGTACAAACACTCTCGATCGTTAAAAAAATAAAAAATTATTTTCAAAACAAACATGACATACATATGAGATTACATCATACATATGAAAACCATAAGCTAGAAACCAAACAAACTATTCAAATAGATATTAACATGGCTTATTCTAAAGATAAATTCTCAATCATTGAGTAAGAAGTCAACCAATTCGTAGGTAGAGAATCTGATGTTGCCAACCCAACAACCTCATGTGCTAATAAATTAGACTAGATTGTGAATATCTCTCACAATTCCACCTGTCTTTTAAAAAACCTTTTCCCCCCTGTAAGCCTAAATAAGATATAAACAGTATGTTTCTAGCAAGACCTTATTCAAACCCATATTGCAACCCAAAGCTATAGCTCCTCTAAAAGCTAACCCCTCTACTACAAGGAGTATTGCAGCANAGTCCTAATGCAGAATTTTACAGGTCTCGGTCTCGGGATTGAGTCGGGCCAACAGCGAAATGACGATTTGTCACGTGAAGAGACGGTGAAACCAAGCTACTGCTATGGCTCTCTTCACTCTCACCCATCACTAGCCACCTGTCCTCTGTCTCTAAAATGTTTTTTATTTATTGCGTGTTTGGATTGGTGCAATGTATGATGTATCCAAGTTTTTCAAATTATCAAAACTCTGCACCAAATCTCTTAGGCCGCGTTTGATCGGAGGTTGGAAGATTAATGGGTTATCTTATCTTATATTACTTGATTATCATATTTGGTTGTTAAATAATATAAGATTTTAGTGTAATATTGTATTATCAATAGTTTACTATAGTAATATTGGAGGTAATCAAGATTATCAATAGTTTACTGTAGTAATATTGGAGGTAATCTGATTACCTCTATTTTTTAGGTATTGTAAGATTATCAAGATAATTTTATTTTTGTTACAATTATATTCCTTATTAATAAAAGTTTTGAACAATAATGCCCTTGTTTTGAAATAAATTTACATTAATATACCATTTCAATTTTACCCTTGTTTAATTAAGTTTTTGAACAATAATGCCCTTATATTTAAAACAAATTACAGACCATCGTCGTCGCCACCACCGCCAATAGCAAACCAACCACCATGAACTGCCGCCGAAAAGTCGTCGGAGTCCCTAAAAATGGCCAAGATTCGCTAGAAGGCTCCGAGAGGCTTCAATATGACAATTTTCAACCATATTAGGCCAGATCTGGCCGTTAACGACCATGGACATGGCCATTTTCTTCCATCAATATGGTCGAAAACTGCCATATCGGAGCCTTGTGGTCACGGTGAGCTACTCACGATGAATTTCGGAGACTTCCGACAGTGGTTTGCGGTGGCGGCAGGGATAGGGGTGATTTTGTCATAAATTAAAGTTTTATATAAGCGGGGGTACTTTAACTAAATATGAAATATTGGGGGTTAAAAGAAATTATTCCAAAATTAATAATGAAAATAATATTATAGTAATATTTAAAAAGAGGGCAATTATGTAATTTAAATAACATACCTACCAATTTATTCCCCCTAACCAAACATATTAGTATAACATACCTACCAACTAACCAAACACATTTTCCTAAAGATTCCTAATAATCTTCAAGGTAATATAAGATTTCAGTAATCCAACATTCCCTTAACCAAACGCACCCTTATGGTTATAGGTTATAGTTCCCTTTAAGATTATATATTTTTATACAATGCATACCCGCATTTATTACTTCCGATTTTTATTCTTTCTTCTACTTATTACATTATATTTAATATTTGTATTTGTACATGTCTTCTACCGATATTTCCAGTTTTTTTTTAAATATGGACTTTGTTAACTTGATTTGTTATCATTGATCTTGAGTTCGATTCACTTGGCTGCTAATAGAGCAATTATTAGAGTTCTTACCTAGCTGATAATTTCATAGTCTAAGGGATTAGTTAAGATGTGTGCGAGTTAGTACAAACACTCTCGATCGTTAAAAAAATAAAAAATTATTTTCAAAACAAACATGACATACATATGAGATTACATCATACATATGAAAACCATAAGCTAGAAACCAAACAAACTATTCAAATAGATATTAACATGGCTTATTCTAAAGATAAATTCTCAATCATTGAGTAAGAAGTCAACCAATTCGTAGGTAGAGAATCTGATGTTGCCAACCCAACAACCTCATGTGCTAATAAATTAGACTAGATTGTGAATATCTCTCACAATTCCACCTGTCTTTTAAAAAACCTTTTCCCCCCTGTAAGCCTAAATAAGATATAAACAGTATGTTTCTAGCAAGACCTTATTCAAACCCATATTGCAACCCAAAGCTATAGCTCCTCTAAAAGCTAACCCCTCTACTACAAGGAGTATTGCAGCAAAAAATTTGGATGTTCGCCTAGTTACCAGCACACCCTTTTTTGTTTTTTGGTTATTGAGGGTGTTCAAGAGAGCTTATGTGCATCTTAATTAATTTTCTGATTTCAAATAAGGTTTCTGAAATAGGGCAAATCCTGCGATCTATGGCCAACAATATTAACAACCGTTCTTATGATTCAAACTTAAAACCATAGGGGAGCAAACCCCTAAGTCCCAAGCCTTTTACCACTCAGCCAACCCATTGTTGTTTACTAGCACACCCTTGTTGTCTCTTACTACAATTCCCATCACTGCTTTATGAGAGTACTCATTAAATGCTGCGTCACAATTAATTTAAATCCAATTATTACAGAAGAAGGTGGAATTTGGGTGCTCAATCGTATTTAAAGTTGGCTTGTATAATTCAGACTTCCACATTTAG